TGCATTGATCTAACTTGTGCTTTAATTTCTAATACAATGATCGAGCAAACGTTTCGTCTTCCCCTCTAACTTTTATTGTCTGTTTTGCCGAGTGCTTCTATGTATCCTCTTCCCTTTCTCTGGCCCGCGTACTATAAAATGATACATGCAACGTGCTCTGCCCATCATTGGGTGACGCCACGTGTACATTATCGCCATAATATATAATGGGATTTGCATGGTGTAGTGCGGGGCCCCTAGTTTTAAGACATATACAACATCAGTGCCGGTGAACGGTTAGAAAAGTAACTCTTTCATACTCTATAGGAACTGCTGCCTGTGAGTGTTACTCCCAACAACCTCAGCCCACTGCTGCCCTAACTGATGGAAACTTAACCCCTGCCCTAAAATTGCTAATGTGATAATTATTGTTTTTGAAAACCGGTTCCCATTAAATAGGAGGTTTGTGTTGAGTGGCTCCTCTAGGGCCTTGTAAATGGTGATAAATGGCTGGCTTTTTATTATGGTACAACTGTTTGCTCCCGGGGCTGAGTGCTAGGGCCTGCCATTGGCTGCTGTGACAGATTAAACATCTGTGAAATTAAATTGATCTATTCCTGGTTAATGAAAATGAAAAGTTTAGTTATCTTTCCTTATTGCGGAGGAAGCCACTGGAAGCGACATGCTGCCAGGCTCCAGCAGAGACACCAGGTAGAGAATAGCCAGCAATGGAGGTGTCTAACAGAGGCCCAGGAATAATTACTGGATTGTGTCTCTATGCAGTGCTACATGGATTGTGTCTCTATGCAGTGCTACATGGATTGTGTCTCTATGCAGTGCAGCGGTACATGGATTGTGTCTCTATGCAGTGCAGCGGTACAAGGCCCTGGGGAGATAGCGCAGCTAAGCGGACAAGGGCACATGTAGGAGTGTGGGCATAGATGCAGGGGAGTGTCTTGGGAAGTGTACATGGGAGGGGTTAGGCTTAATGTAAGTTAGTGTGGGGGGAGGTCTTACCTCAGTGCCACTTGGGATTCGGGCCAGCAAACAGCTTCTTGTCCTCCAACTCCTGTTTGCCTGGGCCTGCAGATTGACACGGCTTGAGGTGATGGATGTTGAGGCGATCCTGTCGTCCCTCAGGGCTGCTGCTGCGCTGGATGGTGGCCGGCAACTGAGGGAGTAATTCCAGAGCATTAGTGGAGGTATGACTGCCGGTGTGGGCACCCTCCGTGGCCTATCCTCCCCTGGGGCACCCCCTGCGGTCTCCCCTGCTGCCTCCGATGCGGCCCCTGCCCCTGGGGGCCGCACCAGCACTGGCAGGCGTTCCCGTCCACCTGCCAGGCTGTCACCAGATGCCACTCCTCAGGCCCGGTTGAGGAGCAGGAGCCCGGGCCCGAGGCACCGCCAGAACCGCGTGTCTGGAGGCCGGATTCTGTGGCCGCGCGGGTGGCACAGCCTTCAGCCACGAGGCCTGCCACCCCTGCGCAGCCTGCACCCTCCTGGGCCGCCCGGCCGGCTACTACCAGGCTGGGGTTGCGGCCTACAGATGCGGCTGCCGCGCGGCCTACCCTTCCTCCCCCATCCTCACCATCCACCCCAGCCGCCGTTGGAGGATCGCGGGCCGGGGGGGGTGGGCGGCGGTTCCAGTCATCCGGGTGGTGGGCAGCCGCCCGGCAGCGGTCCAGGTCCCCCCGCGGCCGGCGGGGGGGTAGGGCGGTGAGTGGGCCCTCGCGGGCTGCGCGGGGTACCGTGGTACCGCCGTTGGGGGTTAGGGGGGGTCCCCTTGCCCATCGGGAGCCTACTCTGCCAGTGAGGAAGGCTCCCAGGGCTCAGTCTCCCCAGTCTCCCCTCCCTCTCCTACTCCCTCCTTTTCTGCTTCCAGGGGGCCCAGCTTACCCTGGTCCCCCCTCCGCTCTCTCTGTGTCCCCTGTCCCCCTCCCCTTGTCTGGTGGGTCTGCCCCTTCCATTTCTTCCTTCCCCCCCTCTGTTCTTCCTCCCCCCCATCTTCTTTCTTCCCCCCCCGGCCTCCTCCTCTCTATTGGCCCCCTCCCCCCCTGCAGGTCACTTACCTCGGTCATCTCCTCAGGGGCATGGGCTCACGTCTGCTCTGCTGCTTTCTTCACAGGATACTGCTGCAGTTCATGGATCCGTCCAGCAGGTGGTGCCTGGAACACAGCTGATGTCTTCTGTGGCTGCTGGAAATGCTGATTCTTTGCCTTCTGTGAGCGCAGCACCGGGCTTGGATCGCCAGTCTGCGACCGGTAAGTACTTTGTTCCCTCCGCTTCTGGCGCTGCGAGTCCCGGGTTGGGAGGGTTCCTCTCGGGTCTTATGTTTTTTTTGGATCAGTGGGAGTGAGGGATGGCGGTTAGTGGGGGTGCTTCGGTGGACAGTCAACTCCGGTCGGCTTGGTCCCCGGCCCTGCTCCCTCCTAATGCTCAGGCTTCTCCCCCTCCTGGCCCTCTTCTCGGGACGGCAAGTGGGGGGGTACTGTTCGGGGACGTTTCATGTACCGCTGACCGGATCTCGTTCAGGATTCGCCGCTCTAAGACGGATGTCTTGGGGAGGGGCAAGTGGGTCCGGTTGGGGTCCGTGCCGGGTTCCGGCATCTGTCCTGTTTGGTCATTTGGGGAATATTGTGCTCTGCGCCCTTCCCCCGCGTTGCCACTCCTGGTACACGGGGATGGTAGTTTCCTTTCCCATTTCCAGTTTATTAGAGTTTTTCGTTTGGGGCTGGAGGCGGTGGGATTGGACAGCAGGGAGTTTGGGGGCCATTCGTTCCGTATTGGGGCGGGTAACGAGGCCTCGAGGCTTGGCATGCCGGTGCAGGTAGTTCAAAGGATTGGTAGGTGGGACTCGAGACGTTATGTGTCCTATGTTCGTCCGACCGGTTTATTGACATGATTTCTCTCCACAGTTTCGTTTCCCCCCAGGATCTGGATCATCGGACACTCCTATGTTTACTGGGCTGGGCAGCGTGCGGAAGTGCGGCCTAGAGGTGAAAGGTTGGGTTTCACGCCTTCCGAAGCATCGGTACGATGGCTCGGGGCACGGGGTATGAGGTGGTCCCGACTCCTACCCGAGTTAGCGCAGTTGTCCCATATCCTGGGGGTGCCGAGTGTCCTGGTGATCCACCTGGGGGGGGGGGGAATGATCTGGGCGTGGGGCCCATTTGGGACTTGATTTCGGCGGTAAAGCGGGACCTAGCCCGCATTCTGAATTTGTTCCCCAGGGTGCACATGGTGTGGTCTGAGGTCATTGCCCGTAACTACTGGTGTGGTGCCAGGAGCCAGAGTGCGATGGAGCGATGCAGACGCAAGCTAAACAGGGTTTCCCAGTTTGTTTTGGGGGTACGGGGGATCCCGGTCCGCCACAGGATTTTTGAGCGGGAGGCGGCTCATTTTTTTCAGGGGGGGCGGGGTACACCTAAAGGAGGTCGGGCTCGACCTTTTCAATCTCGCCCTTCAAGAAGCTGTGGAACAGGCCATTGGAGGTTTTGGTGGGGTTCCCCGCTGATTTAGGGGTAAAGCAGCGTGTCTGGTGGCGGGGGTATGTCCTTGCCAATCAAGTTTGAAGGTTTATGTCTAGGGATGGACTAAGTTTTTATGTTTTACAGGTCTCAATCTCCCCTGCTTAAAAGGTTAAACATTAGGTTGCCTGAGGTATCGTGCCCATCGAGCGTGGATAAGGTCGGCTGATGGCGGGTATTGGAAGGATTTTTTATGACGAGGGGGGAGGTGAGAGGAAGTGGTGATTAGGAACCACTGGATGTTTATTGGCAAGGACGGTTGGGTTTATGCATAGCACGTTTTGTTATTATATGTATATATGTTAATTTATGATTATTTATTTCTAACAGAAAGAGTTTAATAAATGAAGTTATGGATGTGTTATGCAGTAATGTATTTATGTTATAATAAATGCTGTGGCCTGTTCATCCATACTAAGTTGTCTGTCGTTATTGTTTTTTTTTTTATTGGGGTTATCTATGTTATGTGGTATCGTAATTCCCCACTACGTACATACATGGATTGTATCTCTATGCAGTGCTACATGGATTGTGTCTCTATGCAGTGCAGCGGTACATGGATTGTGTCTCTATGCAGCGGTACATGGATTGTGTCTCTATGCAGTGCAGCGGTACATGGATTTTGTCATTATGCAGTGCAGCGGTACATGGATTGTGTCTCTATGCAGTGCTACATGGATTGTGTCTCTATGCAGTGGTAAATGGATTGTGTCTCTATGCAGTGCAGAGGCACATGGATTGTGTCTCTATGCAGTGCAGCGGAACATGGATTTTGTCACTATGCATTGCAGCGGTACATGGATTGTGTCTCTATGCAGTGCTACATGGATTGTGTCTCTATGCAGTGCTACATGGATTGTGTATGAATGCAGCGGTACATGGTTTGTGTCTCTATGGAGTGCAGCAGTACATGGATTGTGTCTCTATGCAGAGCTACATGGATTGTGTCTCTATGCAGTGCTACATGGATTGTGTCTCTATGCAGTGCAGCGGTACATGGATTGTGTCTCTATGCAGAGCTACATTGATTGTGTCTCTATGCAGTGCTACATGGATTGCGTTTCTGTGCAGTGCAGCGGTACATGGATTTTGTCACTATGCAGTGCAGCGGTACATGGATTGTGTCTCTATGCAGTGCTACATGGATTGTGTCTCTATGCAGTGCAGCGGTACATGGATTGTGTCTGTGCAGTGCTACATGGATTGCGTTTCTGTGCAGTGCAGCGGTACATGGATTGTGTCTCTATGCAGTGCAGCGGTACATGGATTGTGTCTCTATGCAGTGCAGCGGTACATGGATTGTGTCTGTGTAGTGCTACATGGATTGCGTTTCTGTGCAGTGCAGCGGTACATGGATTGTGTCATTATGCAGTGCAGCAGTACGTGGATTGTGTCTCTATGCAGTGCTACATGGATTGTGTCTCTATGCAGTGCAGCGGTACATGGATTGTGTCTCTATGCATTGCTACATGGATTGTATCTCTATGCAGCGGTACATGGATTGTGTCTCTATGCAGTGCTACATGGATTGTGTCTCTATGCAGTGCAGCGGTACATGGATTGTGTCTCTATGCATTGCTACATGGATTGTGTCTCTATGCAGTGCAGCGGTACATGGATTGTGTCTCTATGCAGTGCTACATGGATGGTGTCTCTATGCAGTGCAGCGGTACATGGATTGTCACTATGCAGTGCAGCGGTACATGGATTGTGTCTCTATGCAGTGCTACATGGATTGTGTCTCTATGCAGCGGTACATGGATTGTGTTTCAGTGCAGTGCAGCAGTACATGGATTGTGTCTCTATGCAGTGCAGCGGTACATGGATTGTGTCTCTATGCAGTGCTACATGGATTGTATCTCTATGCAGTGCTACATGGATTGTGTCTCTATGCAGTGCAGCGGTACATGGATTGTGTCTCTATGCAGCGGTACATGGATTGTGTCTCTATGCAGTGCAGCGGTACATGGATTTTGTCACTATGCAGTGCAGCGGTACATGGATTGTGTCTCTATGCAGTGCTACATGGATTGTGTCTCATCTGCAGTGCTACATGGATTGTGTCTCTATGCAGTGGTAAATGGATTGTGTCTCTATGCAGTGCAGAGGCACATGGATTGTGTCTCTATGCAGTGCAGCGGAACATGGATTTTGTCACTATGCATTGCAGCGGTACATGGATTGTGTCTCTATGCAGTGCAGCGGTACATGGATTGTGTCTCTATGCAGTGCTACATGGATTGTGTCTCTATGCAGTGCTACATGGATTGTGTATGAATGCAGCGGTACATGGTTTGTGTCTCTATGGAGTGCAGCAGTACATGGATTGTGTCTCTATGCAGAGCTACATGGATTGTGTCTCTATGCAGTGCTACATGGATTGTGTCTCTATGCAGTGCAGCGGTACATGGATTGTGTCTCTATGCAGAGCTACATTGATTGTGTCTCTATGCAGTGCTACATGGATGGTGTCTATGCAGTGCAGCGGTACATGGATTTTGTCACTATGCAGTGCAGCGGTACATGGATTGTGTCTCTATGCAGTGCTACATGGATTGTGTCTCTATGCAGTGCAGCGGTACATGGATTGTGTCTGTGCAGTGCTACATGGATTGCGTTTCTGTGCAGTGCAGCGGTACATGGATTGTGTCTCTATGCAGTGCAGCGGTACATGGATTGTGTCTCTATGCAGTGCAGCGGTACATGGATTGTGTCTGTGCAGTGCTACATGGATTGCGTTTCTGTGCAGTGCAGCGGTACATGGATTGTGTCTTTATGCAGTGCAGCAGTACGTGGATTGTGTCTCTATGCAGTGCTACATGGATTGTGTCTCTATGCAGTGCAGCGGTACATGGATTATGTCTCTATGCATTGCTACATGGATTGTATCTCTATGCAGCGGTACATGGATTGTGTCTCTATGCAGTGCTACATGGATTGTGTCTCTATGCAGTGCAGCGGTACATGGATTGTGTCTCTATGCATTGCTACATGGATTGTGTCTCTATGCAGCGGTACATGGATTGTGTCTCTATGCAGTGCAGCGGTACATGGATTGTGTCTCTATGCAGTGCTACATGGATGGTGTCTCTATGCAGTGCAGCGGTACATGGATTGTCACTATGCAGTGCAGCGGTACATGGATTGTGTCTCTATGCAGTGCTACATGGATTGTGTCTCTATGCAGTGGTACATGGATTGTGTTTCAGTGCAGTGCAGCAGTACATGGATTGTGTCTCTATGCAGTGCAGCGGTACATGGATTGTGTCTCTATGCAGTGCTACATGGATTGTATCTCTATGCAGTGCAGCGGTACATGGATTGTGTCTCGATGCAATGCAGTGCTACATGGATTGTTTCCATGCAGTGCAGCGGTACATGGATTGTGCCTCTATGCAGTGCTACATGGATTGTGTCTCTATGCAGTGGTAAATGGATTGTGTCTCTATGCAGTGCAGAGGCACATGGATTGTGTCTCTATGCAGTGCAGCGGAACATGGATTTTGTCACTATGCATTGCAGCGGTACATGGATTGTGTCTCTATGCAGTGCAGCGGTACATGGATTGTGTCTCTATGCAGTGCTACATGGATTGTGTCTCTATGCAGTGCTACATGGATTGTGTATGAATGCAGCGGTACATGGTTTGTGTCTCTATGGAGTGCAGCAGTACATGGATTGTGTCTCTATGCAGAGCTACATGGATTGTATCTCTATGCAGTGCTACATGGATTGTGTCTCTATGCAGTGCAGCGGTACATGGATTGTGTCTCTATGCAGAGCTACATTGATTGTGTCTCTATGCAGTGCTACATGGATGGTGTCTATGCAGTGCAGCGGTACATGGATTTTGTCACTATGCAGTGCAGCGGTACATGGATTGTGTCTCTATGCAGTGCAGCGGTACATGGATTGTGTCTGTGCAGTGCTACATGGATTGCGTTTCTGTGCAGTGCAGCGGTACATGGATTGTGTCTCTATGCAGTGCAGCGGTACATGGATTGTGTCTCTATGCAGTGCAGCGGTACATGGATTGTGTCTGTGCAGTGCTACATGGATTGCGTTTCTGTGCAGTGCAGCGGTACATGGATTGTGTCTTTATGCAGTGCAGCAGTACGTGGATTGTGTCTCTATGCAGTGCTACATGGATTGTGTCTCTATGCAGTGCAGCGGTACATGGATTGTGTCTCTATGCATTGCTACATGGATTGTATCTCTATGCAGCGGTACATGGATTGTGTCTCTATGCAGTGCAGCGGTACATGGATTGTGTCTCTATGCATTGCTACATGGATTGTGTCTCTATGCAGCGGTACATGGATTGTGTCTCTATGCAGTGCTACATGGATTGTGTCTCTATGCAGTGCAGCGGTACATGGATTGTGTCTCTATGCAGTGCTACATGGATGGTGTCTCTATGCAGTGCAGCGGTACATGGATTGTCACTATGCAGTGCAGCGGTACATGGATTGTGTCTCTATGCAGTGCTACATGGATTGTGTCTCTATGCAGTGGTACATGGATTGTGTTTCAGTGCAGTGCAGCAGTACATGGATTGTGTCTCTATGCAGTGCAGCGGTACATGGATTGTGTCTCTATGCAGTGCTACATGGATTGTATCTCTATGCAGTGCAGCGGTACATGGATTGTGTCTCGATGCAATGCAGTGCTACATGGATTGTTTCCATGCAGTGCAGCGGTACATGGATTGTGCCTCTATGCAGTGCTACATGGATGGTGTCTCTATGCAGTGCAGCGGTACATGGATTGTGTCTCTATGCAGTGCTACATGGGTTGTGTCTCTATGCAGTGCAGCGGTACATGGATTGTGTCTCTATGCAGTGCAGCGGTACATGGATTGTGTGTCTATGCAGCGATACATGGCTTGTGCTATGCAGTGATGTATGAATTGTGTTTATATGCAATACACTGGATCTTGCTACACATTCCACATTGTATCCAATAAAAAAGGGACACAGTGTTATCAAGTGATACCGTTCCATTATCCCAGTTATAATCAGATCACTCAAAACCTTTGGCAGTTCCATGTCATGGGAGCTTCCACCAAACCTGGATTTGCAGTTAATTTGCAGCTAATCATGGTGTGTATGGAGTATTTCAGATCTGAAAGGCAGTTACAATAAAACAATAAAATATAATTTGTTGACCCTTAAAGTAAATGTAAAGTCACCCAATAGAGGTGTCGGGAGAGTGGGAGTCATCTTCGCACCAGTTAATATAGCGTTACTTTCCACAGCTTAAGGCACCGAGAAATGTTATTAACGCTGCATACATTAGCACAGGCCCAGCTGTTTTACATACGCATTGCATATTGCAGGAATTTCCATTCAGAATTAGGAAATGTGGGTCGGAATGGTAAACCATGGCAGCTGCTCACGTTTATTGTCATCTGTGGGGTCAACAAAACCATGTAAATGGGAGAGTTACTGGCATGATGGGGGAGCTAACCATGTGATCACATTCAAATGGGGGGGTGGGTTAATGGCATGATAGGGGGAGCTAACCTTGTGATCACATTCAAATGGGGGGGTGGGTTATTGGCATGATAGGGGGAGCTAACCTTGTGATCACATTCAAATGGGGGGGTGGGTTATTGGCATGATAGGGGGAGCTAACCTTGTGATCACATTCAAATGGGGGGGTGGGTTATTGGCATGATAGGAGGAGCTAACCTTGTGATCACATTCAAATGGGGGGTTACTGGCATGATAGGGGGAGCTAACCATGTGATCACATTCAAATGGGGGGTTATTGGCATGATAGGAGGAGCTAACCATATGATCCCATCAAAACGGTGGTGGGGGGGGGGGAGGGTTTCTGAATATAAGGTAACTAAATCCAATGCACTGGTCATTATTTTGATGGGGACCACAAGGATTCTGCTTTCACATAAGATGTGCTTATATACTCAGTCATACTTTGATTAACTGAGCAATAAATGTGACCCATAGGACTGTTTTATTTTGTTCTTTCATTGAAATGATCATGGCATCCATAAGCTTATTCTCTGTTATTAATACACCTCGCAGTGTTGACAATGAAACTAAAATACATTATAAAAGATCCCCTGTACCTTCAGCTTCGACCCAGCTCTGGCCCTAACTTCTCATCTGGAGCTCAGACCTGTCTCCTGACTGCAGCATCCATCGGCTCCAACACACAGTGAAGCGGGATGAAGGGTGAGAGAATAAGGATGCGAGTCCCTATGAAATGGGAATCTCAGGTTTTGCCCTCGCTACAGTATTTAGTGGGCACTAACCATTTCAATCATGTTTCTGTATTCCAAAATGACAGCAAATTCAACTCTTACTGCAGGTTACAAATCTGTTACACCATAATCTGCACACTGCAACACAAATACCTGATTAACAAAGTTACTTTGTATGACTGACATTCAGCGTCTCCACCCTCCTCATGGAGACACTGAACATTCCTCATAGAGAGGCATTGATTCAACGTATCTCTATGAGGAGAAGCTGATTGGCCAGGGCTGTGTTTGACTTGTGCTGGCTCTGCCCCAATCTGCTTCCTTGACAGTCTCAGCCATTCCTATGGGAAAGCATTGTGATTGGCTAAGAGAATTACTCCTGATGATGTCAGCAGGCAGGTCAGGGGCAAAGGCAGCAGCTGCAGACTTGAATGCAAGTAATATTTTTCATATATTTAGGGGGGTAATAGGGACTAGAGGGTGGTTTTAGCATTATAAGGTCAGGAATACATTTGTGTTACTGACCCTATAGTGTTCCTTTAAGTTATAAGTACACATTATACATATGTACATCTGACGGACAAAATAAATATGATTTTTTTTTTTTATTTATTGTAAATTGGATGATCATGGGTTTAATCCGGAAGTTGTCTACTCGAACCATTACTTCTAACACATGTCCAGGATTTCTCAGTGTTCTACAAACCCTTCCCCTTCTGAATAACAGCTGACGACTTTAAAGATGTGCGTGTGTGTATTAGATGCAATATGAGGGAGTAGGAGGAAATATTTTGTAAATTGAATTGTAGGACTTTTTACATAACGTATATGCAACCTTTACACACCCAGAAATTTATATATTAAAAAAAATAAAACCACTTATAAGTATACAGCTTCCCAAGGTCCCAATCTCAGAAAGTAATCCCCTTAAACATATATTTTCTTTTTAAATAAAAAGCCATATTCTTATATCCAATTAGGTTTGCAATGGAATAAAACAGATACAAAGACTTTGGCCACCAGACGAACAATGACGGAGTAATATTTCCGCTACAATATTATGGCAGCCATGATTCTGAATGAGTATTTCCCATTGCGATGACTGAGCCAGCTGTGCCCAGTATGAATGATACATGGCACTCAGGGGTAGGACAATACGCGATATCAGGTCCAGTTAGAAACAGAATCTACTTTTCTTTTCCTTATAGGGGACTGTAAACACTGTCTTTGTCACAGCATAAAATGCTCCCATAAATAGCATCGATTGGTGGATTAGAAGACTTGGTCCAGTAATTGTAGAAAAGCACATGTCCTGTGATTTGTGTGGTTTAACATGGAACTACATTTGATCTTATTACATATAACCCATGTTGCTTTTTGTCTCCCATCTTTTCTTAGCTTCAAATCTGAAAATACCAAAGAAAAACCGTAATTAATACAGTTACCTACATATATATTTCAAATGTTCAAATTCGTTAAACTTAAAAACTTCATGGAACCAATAAAAGCAGCAGAGATACATAAAACATGATTTTAACAAATAATCCAGGCTGGAGTCATTTTAAAATACTTAATTATATGCACAAAGTCAAATACGTAACTAACTGTAACTTAACGTATACAGTGCATCTAACGTGTGTGGGAGCCTGGAGTGTCCCTTTAAGAATATAAACCCACCCAGTATAACTAACTGTAACCTAACCTACACAGTGCATCTAACGTGTGTGGGAGCCTGGAGTGTCCCTTTAATAATATAAACCCACCCAGTATAACTAACTGTAACCTAACCTACACAGTGCACCTAACGTGTGTGGGAGCCTGGAGTGTCCCTTTAATAATATAAACCCACCCAGTATAACTAACTGTAACCTAACCTACATAGTGCACCTAACGTGTGGGAGCCTGGAGTGTCCCTTTAATAATATAAACCCACCCAGTATAACTAACTGTAACCTAACCTACACAGTGCACCCAACGTGTGTGGGAGCCTGGAGTGTCCCTTTTAATAATATAAACCCACCCAGTATAACTAACTATAACCTAACCTACACAGTGCACCTAACGTGTGTGGGAGCCTGGAGTGTCCCTTTAATAATATAAACCCACCCAGTATAACTAACTGTAACCTAACCTACACAGTGCATCTAACGGGTGTGGGAGCCTGGAGTGTCCCTTTAATAATATAAACCCACCCAGTATAACTAACTGTAACCTAACCTACACAGTGCATCTAACGTGTGTGGGAGCCTGGAGTGTCCCTTTAATGATATAAACCCATCCAGTATAACTAACTGTAACCCAACCTACACAGTGCATCTAACGTGTGTGGGAGCCTGGAGTGTCCCTTTAATAATATAAACCCACCCAGTATAACTAACTGTAACCTAACCAACACAGTGCATCTAACGTGTGTAGCCTGGAGTGTCCCTTTAATAATATAAACCCACCCAGTATAACTAACTATAACCTAACCTACACAGTGCATCTAACGTGTGTGGGTGCCTGGAGTGTCCCTTTAATAATATAAACCCACCCAGTATAACTAACTGTAACCTAACCTACACAGTGCATCTAACGTGTGTGGGAGCCTGGAGTGTCCCTTTAATAATATAAACCCACCCAGTATAACTAACTGTAACCTAACCTACACAGTGCACCTAACGTGTGTGGGAGCCTGGAGTGTCCCTTTAATAATATAAACCCACCCAGTATAACTAACTGTAACCTATCCTACACAGTGCATCTAACCTGGAGTGTCCCTTTAATAATATAAACCCAAGTGCACCTACACAGTGCATCCAACGTGCGTGGGAGCCTGGAGTGTCCCTTTAATAATATAAACCCACCCAGTATAACTAACTGTAACCTAACCTACACAGTGCATCTAACGTGTGTGGGAGCCTGGAGTGTCCCTTTAATAATATAAACCCACCCAGTATAACTAACTGTAAGCTAACCTACACAGTGCATCTAACGTGTGTGGGAGCCTGGAGTGTCCCTTTAATAATATAAACCCACCCAGTATAACTAACTGTAACCTAACCTACACAGTGCATCTAACGTGTGTGGGAGCCTGGAGTGTCCCTTTAATAATATAAACCCACCCAGTATAACTAACTGTAACCTAACCTACACAGTGCATCTAACGTGTGTGGGAGCCTGGAGTGTCCCTTTAATAATATAAACCCACCCAGTATAACTAACTGTAACCTAACCTACACAGTGCACCTAACGTGTGGGAGCCTGGAGTGTCCCTTTAATAATATAAACCCACCCAGTATAACTAACTGTAACCTAACCTACACAGTGCACCTAACGTGTGTGGGAGCCTGGAGTGTCCCTTTAATAATATAAACCCACCCAGTATAACTAACTGTAACCTAACCTACACAGTGCATCTAATGTGTGTGGGAGCCTGGAGTGTCCCTTTAATAATATAAACCCACCCAGTATAACTAACTGTAACCTAACCTACACAGTGCATCTAATGTGTGGGAGCCTGGAGTGTCCCTTTAATAATATAAACCCACCCAGTATAACTAACTGTAACCTAACCTACACAGTGCACCTAACGTGTGTGGGAGCCTGGAGTGTCCCTTTAATAATATAAACCCACCCAGTATAACTAACTGTAACGTGTGTGAGAGCCTGGAGTGTCCCTTTAATAATATAAACCCACCCAGTATAACTAACTGTAACCTAACCTACACAGTGCATCTAACGTGTGTGGGAGCCTGGAGTGTCCCTTTAATAATATAAACCCACCCAGTATAACTAACTGTAACCTAACCTACACAGTGCATCTAACGTGTGTGGGAGCCTGGAGTGTCCCTTTAATAATATAAACCCACCCAGTATAACTAACTGTAACCCAACCTACACAGTGCATCTAACGTGTGTGGGAGCCTGGAGTGTCCCATTAATAATATAAACCCACCCGGTGTAACTAACTGTAACCTAACCTACACAGTGCATCTAACGTGTGTGGGAGCCTGGAGTGTCCCTTTAATAATATAAACCCACCCAATATAACTAACTGTAACCTAACCTACACAGTGCATCTAACGTGTGTGGGAGCCTGGAGTGTCCCTTTAATAATATAAACCCACCCAGTATAACTAACTGTAACCTAACCTACACAGTGCATCTAACGTGTGTGGGAGCCTGGAGTGTCCCTTTAATAATATAAACCCACCCAGTATAACTAACTGTAACCTAACCTACACAGTGCATCTAACGTGTGTGGGAGCCTGGAGTGTCCCTTTAATAATATAAACCCACCCAGTATAACTAACTGTAACCTACCTACCTACACAGTGCATCTACACGTGTGTGGGAGCCTGGAGTGTCCCTTTAATAATATAAACCCACCCAGTATAGAAACATAGAAACATAGAATGTGACGGCAGATAAGAACCATTCGGCCCATCTAGTCTGCCCAATTTTCTAAAAACTTTCATTAGTTCCTAGCCTTATCTTATACTTAGGATAGCCTTATGCCTATCCCATGCATGCTTAAACTCCTTTACTGTGTTAACCTCTACCACTTCAGCTGGAAGGCTATTCCATGCATCCACTACCCTCTCAGTAAAGTAATACTTCCTGATATTATTTTTATAACTAACTGTAACCTAACCTACACAGTGCATCTAATGTGTGTGAGAGCCTGGAGTGTCCCTTTAATAATATAAACCCACCCAGTATAACTGTAACCTAACCTACACAGTGCACCTAACGTGTGTGGGAGCCTGGAGTGTCCCTTTAATAATATAAACCCACCCAGTATAACTAACTGTAACCTAACCTACACAGTGCATCTAACGTGTGTGGGAGCCTGGGGTGTCCCTTTAATAATATAAACCCACCCAGTATAACTAACTGTAACCTAACCTACACAGTGCACCTAACGTGTGTGGGAGCCTGGAGTGTCCCTTTAATAATATAAACCTACCCAGTATAACTGTAACCTAACCTACACAGTGCATCTAACGTGTGTGGGAGCCTGGAGTGTCCCTTTAATAATATAAACCCACCCAGTATAACTAACTGTAACCTAACCTACACAGTGCATCTAACATGTGTGGGAGCCTGGAGTGTCCCTTTAATAATATAAACCCACCCAGTATAACTAACTGTAACCTAACCTACACAGTGCATCTAACGTGTGTGGGAGCCTGGAGTGTCCCTATCGGGGGATGACTGGCAAAGGGGGTAGATTGTTTCTGGGCAGTAGCGTCATGGTAGTATTCTTCAACTGATAAAAACAGTGGTATATGTTTTAGTTGTTTATCCAACGAAACAAATAGTAACCAGCACACGCTTCTAAGCAGCAGAGACAATATTATTCTAATTGCCATCTCCACATATAACTCTACCCTCACGCCCCCAAGCATGGCATACTAAATCAACACGCTACCTGCAAAGTTGCACCTGTTGTGCTGAACGATCCTGGAGGAAGTCCCGCACCCAGTCAGACTTTCTCCATTATAGATTCATACTGTGTTCATACAGCGCAGCCCTTGCCCTCGCCAAACAGTCATACTTTTCCGCTCTCATTAGTTCATGCTCCTGCAATCCCAGGCGTCTCTTTGATACCTTTAATTCTCTTCTTTGCCCTGCTGTGGCCACCCCCCAAACTAACCTTACAGCCGATAGCTTTGCATGCTACTTTACCGACAAAATTGAACAACTAAGTAAAGAATTCTCCACACCTTGCCTCTCTCTTTCTCAAACATACGTAGATCATGCCTTTCCTATCCTTCAGACTTTCTCCCCGGCTACTGAACAAGAGGTGGCTGCGCTTTTCCTGTCCTCTCGACACCACTTGCCCGCCTGATCCTGTCCCATCTTATCAGATCTCTCTCCCCTTCTCTTGTGCCTTCTTTAACACACATCTTCAACTGCTCTGGCGTTGTCCCTGCTGACCTTAAACATGCCACTGTATTTCACATCCCGAAAAAAAAATAAAAAAATCTCTTGACCGTCCTCCCTTTCTATCGTACCATATTTCGTATGTCTCACTACCAACTCTCTTCTTGACCCTCTTCAATCTGGCTTCTGCCCCCTTCACTCTACTGAGACTGCCCTTATCAAAGTTACTAATGACCTAATAGCAGCTTAATACAAAGGAAACCACTCCATACTAATTCTTATTGACCTCTCTGCTGCCGTTGAATCGTTTGCAGGAGGAGAGCATGATCAACAGTGTCAATCACTCGATCTCTATGACTCTGTCCTCTCGTGGCTCTCCTCCAACGCTCATTCATTGTCTCCTTTTATAATGATACCTCTTCCCTTCATCCTGTCTCGGCTGGAGTCCCCCAACGCTCTGTACTTGGACCCCTTCTTTTTTCTCTTTATACTGCCTCTCTTGGCAAATTTATTACCTCATTTGGATTCCAATACCACCTGTACGCTGATGACACCCAAATATATCTCCCCTCCCCGGACTGCTTGCCTTTCTTCCATCGCTGACTGGACGTCCTCCCGCTTTCTGAAAATCAATCTCTCTAAAACGGAGCTCCTGGTCTTTCCTCCTCTTAATATTGATCCTCCTCTTTCCCTCTCCCTTCAAGTTAGTCCTATCCACATCAGTCCATCTTTGCAAGCTCGCCGTCTTGGCATTATACTTGATTCTGGCCTCACCTCTGAGCCTCACATCCAGTATGTTGCCTCCATCTTAAAAACATAGCTTGCATCTGCCCCTTCCTTACGCAAGATAGTAAGGAGCTTGTCCATGCTCTAGTATTTCCTGCATGGATTATTGTAACTCTCTCCTAATTGGTCTTCCCAAAAGCAGTATTGCCCAGCTACAGTCTGTAATGAATGCAGCCGCCAGACTGATTTTCCTCTCTAGTCGGTCCTCTTACACCTCACCCCTCTGTCAGTCCTAACATTGGCTTCCTGTATCCTATAGGAGTCAATTCAAAGTGCTAACCCATACCTATAAAGCACTGAACAATTCTAATCCCTCTTATATCTCTTCACAGATCCATAGTTATGCCCCTTCTCGTTACCTCCGCTCTGCCCGTGACCTTCTCCTGTCCACTACTCGCACCCGTCCAGCTAACTAACGCTTGCAGGACTTCTCGCGGGCGGCTCCTTTCCTATGGAATAGCCTGCCTACCGCCATCAGGCTCTCCCCTAATCTTCAATCATTTAAGTAGTGCCTTAACCCATCTCTTTAGGAAAGCTCATGGCCTCCCAGAGTAGCCTCTAGCTTACATACCTGTCTCTCGCTCTCTCCTAAAGGGCAGCACTCTACTCTCTCCTCCAGCTCTGCTTCACTCCCACCTATTTATGATTGTTGGAGCGAGTAATGCATGGCCGTTCCTAGCGTGTCAATTTGGATACTCTCCTGGCCTGGTATGAGAAATGGCTGTGTGTGAAGTTATGGGAAAACCTTGTTCAATCTGCCTATTTATTTTACTCATAACACTATGCCGTGCTGCCTGCTTTCATCCATGTTACTCACCCCCAACCAAGGTTTTTCTTTTTCTGTCGACTGCCTTGAGAGGCCTCCTCCTTTTCTTTGGTTTGTAGATATTTGTAGCTGGACACAGCTTTAGTAACCTTCACAGCCATCTTTACAAAAAAATAAAAACGTTAAACATGGAAAGTGCAGCCAAGCCACATACATATAGATATAAATATTACTAAAGTTTAAACATGCACTTTTTTCCCCCATTGAAAAAAACAAACAAAATAGAACTGTGTATTTATGGTAAAGCTGAAAGCAGTCACAGACCAGCTGCTATGAGCTCCAGCATAAATTCCATATTCAGAAGACCTCCGGCCAAACGTTCTACCCATGTAGACTCCACGGAAGAGAACGAGACCCTGCTGGCTAGCTGAGCCACCTCCAACAAAGATTGAAGCTTGCAAACACAAGAAAGTACCTTTTTGGGAAAATGCGTAGTTCATTGAGAACAATAGGGGTAACAGCCAGCCTGTAGTGTGCCCTTTAATCGGTAAAGTCAGCAACGTGTTCTGCTATTCTGCTGTGATAGAGGATGTCAGAAGCACGGCAAGAATGGCTGGAAGATTCTTACTTGGTATGAAAACTAATCAATTTCTTGGTATAACAAAAAAATTATTTTAGCAAATAGAAAACCAGGACTTGTGAGCAAACAATTTCACTATTGTTAAAAGGGTGCTAGGAAGAAAACCTCTCAGTCACACAGAGCTTCCATACTTTCAGCCCCCAAAAGACATAAACTAGCACTCACCAGAAAGCTTATTCTTATTTATATTCGACAGTGCTCTATAATTATAGAATGGAGATTTTTGATAACAAGTAATTACCATACATACTATTAAACAGAGACAAGAGGTGAACAAGGCCCTGTTCAAAAGAGCTTACAATCTATGATGTATAAAAGCAAAGTTTATTGCATCCTTTATAAAAGACTCTTCAACGTAACTTACAAAGAGACAAACATGGACAGGCAAATATCAGAACAATCACACTAATATCTACCTTTATTTAAAATCTGAAGTAAAACTCCAAAAAGCTTGCTGTAGCGGTAATGGTGATAGGAGTGTCCTGACTTCCCCTCAGGTTAAGTAAAAACATGTCTGCAGACGCATTATACTTGGATGTAGGCTTATATGTAAGGGACATTTCATCTAGGCTCCCTAGCTCCTGGGATTCGCCATTCCCTGGTACATACAGGAAGAATGTGCTATTACCAAGAAATCCGAATGAAACCCATAATTGATCCATCACAGTAAATATGCAAAAGAGCCCCCCCCCATCTTTGCACTCCGACTATGAAAGCCCAACTGTGGTCACATTACCCCTTCAGTGACATAAAGGCTGACACGTATGTCAATATATATATATCTGCACTTTTACACTCTCCAAAGATATAAACAAACAGAATACAACCAATTCTTTTGTAGAAAAGCCCCAGCACTTTTCAAATGGAACATCCTGTATTTTTCTGCATTTTAATTAAGGTGTCTAAACATTATCGCACAGAACTGGAAATTGGTCCGAGCACGCAGTCAAGAAAAGTAAGCTCTAAAGGCTTTTTATCGCTATATTTCAGGAACCAAGGGTGTAAAATGTTCTAATTTGGGCTATATTAAAAGCCATAAAAAGGTCTTTCAGAAAGATTAATGGTACTTTGCTTGGATTTAAGATAAGGGTTTTAGCTGGTTCCAGAAGCCAGGCCTGACGGTTCCCTAGAGGCGATCATCTTTAGAGCCACTTAGAAGATTTCTAAAAGCTCCGGCACAACCTCCAGCCAATACACAGGCGAATTTCTGGCTTTTTAGTCCTTCTTTAAATTCCTTTCAATTTTACAGGTTTAAAGTGTGTAAATCATCTTGGACAGTAAAAACAGACATAATAATGTAACCTTGAAATATATCAGATTTTCTTTTTTTTCTTCGAATAACAACAGCTTCCGTTTTTACATATATTTAAACTCTGCTGTGCGAGCATAAATCTACACGCTACGTATACCTAGAGATAAATATACTTAGGCCAGAAGAGTGAGACGTTTAGGGGGAAAATATTGGCCGTTAGCTAGTAAGAAATAAAAAATAAAATAAGGCAAAAGCACTTTCAATTGTCAATTTTCACACAATTTTTAAAGAAGATAAAAATATAGAAATATGAATAATGCAGAAGGGCAAATAGAATCAGACTATTTTTATTTAATTTGTCAGACTTTTTATAGATGATTTCCCAAACACAACGCAGACACTAAAATATGAGGTTTTCACAGGTCAGCACAGATTTAGAATCGGACAACACGGCCAAGTTTATCAGTTGCTTCGACTGAGGATGTTAGTCTATAGGCAGAATTGTTTGATTATATATACACACATACGTCTATGTGACGGTCACATTAGGTCGGCTTATGAGGTTTAAATAAATTATAGTAGAACTAACAGATGGCAAAGAGAAACAAACACACTCGTACAATTAACGTCCAATATTTTATATTTAAGATTAAAAATAAAATAAAAATAGATTCCCCCCCCCCCGTAATTTTCCTTAAAAACAAAATGAATTGGGTGTGATGACTGGTTAGAGAACAATGATTGTTAAAAAAATAAATACATAAAATAAAAGCCTCACTATTTAATTTTTCTTTTATCACAATATTTATTATGCCGACAATTCCTGATTGTCTTAACTTGGTCTCAACGTTAATGACAGCCAAGTTACCTTGGAGACTAAAGATCAAAGAGACAAAAAAAGCCTTGGATTGTCTGATTAATCAAGTCAGCAAACAGCTTATTTCTTTTAGCCGGCATGCAAGTATGAAAATGAGAATCCACCAGCGAGGATTTGTTCATTCTTATCAGAACAAAGCCAGAGGCAGGCTATTTCACGGATCATTGCCTCTGTCAGGACTCATGCACAGAAAGGGTGACAGCCCCTTATTCTGAGGCTTGAGTAAAATTAGCAAAAAAGTCAGCACAAATTACCCCCTCATCTTTTTAGTAATATGACATTATTCATTTAGGGTTTTTTTTTTATCCAATTTTCAATTTTTGTCACACTTCCTTCTTACACCCCCCGCACCCACTCTCGCCCATACAGCCGCCTTCCTTCAGGCTAATGCTTCCCAGTGATTTAGAGCAGCGATGGATTTATGGGGTGCCATTGTAAATAACACCCCGTTTCTGATACAGCAATCCAGCAGGGAGCACGGCTGCTCTGATCAGTCAAATAGATGAATCAAATAACGGCTGGTTCAATTAAAATAGATTATTTTGTTAATCAGGCTAGACTGGCAAAGGCATAGAATATATGGCTGAGCTAATAGTTATATTAACACTCACTAATGCGTTCTTTTGTTTGCAAAAAATACTTTAATTGGTTGTTTAAAGGCAAATTATAGTCAAAAAGTGAAGCGTGGAGAATCACCTCCGAAGATGCAATGTCTGTAGTTCCATCATTTCTCATCTATGCAGAGGCTCTTCAGAAAAAAAAAAAAGGTATTAAAAAGACACGAATAGCAAAAAAAAATCAAATCATCCATACACCGTGGAGTCGCAAATTTATTTTATTTTTTTCGATTTGGAGCAGAATTTCACTTGGAAACATTTGCAGATTATTTGGATATTATAGTGGATACATGGAAACACCACGAGCAGAGCGTGAACCAGTGACACAAACACTGCACCAGTACTCGCCATACTGCTCCTCCAACACCACGAGCAGTGCGTGAACCAGTGACACAAACACTGCACCAGTACTCGCCATACTGCTCCTCCAACACCACGAGCAGTGCGTGAACCAGTGACACAAACACTGCACCAGTACTCGCCATACTGCTCCTCCAACACCACGAGCAGAGCGTGAACCAGTGACACAAACACTGCACCAGTACTCGCCATACTGCTCCTCCAACACCACGAGCAGAGCGTGAACCAGTGACACAAACACTGCACCAGTACTCGCCATACTGCTCCTCCAACACCACGAGCAGTGCGTGAACCAGTGACACAAACACTGCACCAGTACTCGCCATACTGCTCCTCCAACACCACGAGCAGAGCGTGAACCAGTGACACAAACACGGCACCAGTACTCGCCATACTGCTCCTCCAACACCTCGAGCAGAGCGTGAACCAGTGACACAAACACTGCACCAGTACTCGCCATACTGCTCCTCCAACACCTCGAGCAGAGCGTGAACCAGTGGTATGGAAATACTTCTCTAGTAATCATTACTAGACAATGATAGAGCATGAATCAATAAGGAGACACTACTAATCGTTCAGTTCCTTTTCTGCCACCAGAGCATGGACATAAGAGAGTGTTCCTTTTTTATTGTAGATGGCTCCCGGGTGATGATGTCAATGTGAAGATAGCACCTTTGTGATGTCAATGTGACGATGGCTCCCATGTGATGTCATCAATGCGACTATGGCTCCCTTGTGATGATGTCAATGTGACGATGGCTCCCGTGTGATGTCGTCAATGTGACGATGGCTCCTGTGTGATGATGTCAATGTGACGATGGCTCCCGTGTGATGATGTCAATGTGACGATGGCTCCCGTGTGATGATGTCAATATGAAGATCTCTGACAATCTAAGAACTTTAGTGAAGTTTTTAGGCAAATGTAAACACTGATTTCATAGAAGCTGCAATATTTTACACTGTCCAAGACAAGGGGAAGCAGACCGGAAACTATTGAAAACGTGTTATTTTAATATGTATAATATTTCAATATAAAGCATCACTGCATACTGCTGGTATATATATATGTTCCCTGGATCTGCAGACAGCTATGTGTGCCCATATGCCAAGGTTTGCTCAGTGAAGCTTATAATGAATGATAATAATATATGCAGTAAATGACATGAACTAACAAACATGAGATAAGTGTCTGTGTGAAATCTCAGAGCAATTATCTGCTATACCTTTAACAGGTTTCTCAACAGGCCCGATAAGTAAATATTGCCACACTGGATATTGCCGTCAGCCCGGCCGCCTGCTTGCATTATGTGCTTGCATACTAAGGGTATGAACACATTTATGTTGAAAGAGAAAGAAAAATAAAACGTTCAATATTTAGGTTTTAGATAATAGGACAGTCAATGTACTAGATACCTCTTATTCATAGAGGAGAAAAGAAAAGATAATCATATTGAGTAGAATAAAATATATAACAATACGATCCATTCCCAAACACAGAATGTGACGGCAGATAAGAACCATTCGGCCCATCTAGACTGCCCAATTTTCTAAATACTTTCATTAGTCCCTGGCCTTATCTTATAGTTAGGATAGCCTTATGCCTATCCCACGCATGCTTAAACTCCTTTACTGTGTTAACCTCTACCACTTCAGCTGGAAGGCTATTCCATGCATCCACTACCCTCTCAGTAAAGTAATACTTCCTGATATTAATTTTAAACCTTTGTCCCTCTAATTTAAGACTATGTCCTCTTGTTGTGGTAGTTTTTCTTCTTTTAAATATAGTCTCCTCCTTTACTGTGTTGATTCCTTTATATATTTAAATGTTTCTATCATATCCCCCCTGTCTCGTCTTTCCTCCAAGCTATACATGTTAAGATCCTTTAACCTTTCCTGGTAAGTTTTATCCCGCAATCCATGAACCAGTTTAGTAGCCCTTCTCTGAACCCTCTCTAAGGTATCAATATCCTTCTGAAGATACGGTCTCCAGTACTGTGTACAATACTCCAAGTGAGGTCTCACCAGTGTTCTGTACAATGGCATGATCACTTCCCTCTTTCTACTGCTAATACCTCTCCCTATACAACCAAGCATTCTGCTGGCATATCCTGCAGCTCTATTACATTGTCTACCTACCTTGAAGTCATCAGAAATAATCACCCCTAAATCCCTTTCCTCATATGTTGATCAAATATTCTGTACTCTGCCCTTGGGATTTTAGGTCCAAGATGCATTATTTTGCACTTATCCACATTAAAGGTCAGTTGCCACAACTCTGACCATTTTTCTAGTTTACCTAAATCATTTGCCATTTGGCTTATCCCTCCTGGAACATCAACCCTGTTACATATCTTAGTATCATCAGCAAAAAGACATACCTTACCATCAAGACCTTCTACAATATCACTAATAAAAATATTAAAGAGAATGGGTCCAAGTACAGATCCCTGAGGTACCCCACTGGTGACAAGTCCAAGCTTCGAATATATTCCATTAACTACAACCCTCTGTTGCCTGTCACTCAGCCACTGCCTTACCCATTCAACAATATTGGAATCCAAACTTAAAGATTGCAGTTTATTGATAAGCCTTCTATGTGCAACAGTGTCAAAAGCCTTACTGAAATCTAGGTAAGCAATGTCTACTGCACCACCCTGATCTATAATTTTAGTTACCCAATCAAAAAAATCAGTAAGATTAGTTTGGCATGATCTCCCTGAAGTAAACCCATGTTGTCTCTGATCTTGAAATCCATGTGTTTTAGATGTTCAACAATCCTATCCTTTAACATAGTTTCCATTACTTTCCCCACTACTGAAGTAAGGCTTACTGGCCTATAGTTGCCCGACTCCTCCCTACTACCTTTCTTGTGAATGGGCACAACATTCGCTAACTTCCAATCTTCTGGGACTACTCCTGTTAACAATGATTGGTTAAATAAATCCGTTAGTGGTTTTGCTAGTACACCACTAAGCTCTTTTAATAGCTTTGGGTGTATTCCATCAGGTCCCATTCACTTATTTGGCTTTACTTTTGACAGTTGAAATAGAACCTCTTCCTCTGTAAACTCACATGTAACAAATAACACATTTGTCTTTTTTCCTAACTGAGGTCCATTTCCTTCATTTTCATCTGTAAATACTGAACAAAAATATTAATTGAGGAAGTCAGCTAGACCTTTATCCTATTCTACATACCTTCCTTCTTTTGTTTTTAATGTAACTAATCCTTGTTTTACTTTCCTTTTCTCATTTATGTATCTAAAAAATGTTTTGTCCCTTTTTTTTTTACTAACTGTGCTATTTTCTCTTCTGTGTGTGATTTGGAAGCTCTTATAACTTGCTTAGACTCTTTCTGCCAAATCTTATAGATCTGTCTGTCTTCCTCACTCTGGCTTTTTTTTTTTTATAATTACTAAATGCTTACGTTTTGTTTTTTACTATTTTGGCCACATCTGCGAAGTACCACAGTGGTTTCTTGAATTTTTTGCCTTTACTGACAAGCCTAATGCAATTTTCTGTTGCCTTCAGCAGTCCAAGTTTTAAATAATCCCATTACTCTTGGACTCCATTTAAATTGCTCCAGTCTGATAATGACTCCTTTACACATATTCTAATTTTACAAAAGTCTGTTTTTCTAAAGTCTAAAACGTTTGTTTTTATGTGGTGTGACTCAGTCACTGTTCTTATATTAAACCACACTGACTGATGATCATTGGATCCTAAACTTTCACCTACAGTAATATCTGATACCAAATCTCCATTTGTTAACACTAAATCTAGTATGGCCTCTTTACAAGTTGGCTCCTCAACGACTTTTTTTAAGAGACAATCCCAGTAGGGAGTTTAGAATATGTGTGCTCCTGGCACAAGCAGCTATTTTGGTTTTCCAATTCACATAAGGAAGATTAAAGTCACCCATGATGATAACTTCCCCCTTCATTGTCATTTTAGCTATTTCCTCAACAAGTAGATTATCTAACTCTATTTGTCCTGGGGGCCTATAAATCACACCTACACGAGTTACTGTGTGATTACCAAATTCTAACGCAACCCAAACGGACTCTATGTTCGCCTCACTAACTTTTATTAGGCTAGATTTTATGCTATTCTTCACATACAAGGCCACACCTCCCCCTTTCTTGCCTTGCCTGTCTTTCCTATATAAAGAGTACCCTGGTATTGCTATGTCCCAGTCATTTTTCTCATTATACCATGTCTCAGTAACAGCGACTAAATCTACACTATCAGTTGCCATTATTGCCACAAGTTCATGGATCTTATTCCCTAAACTGCGAGCATTTGTAGAGATGACTGTAAGCTTATTTTTTTAACACACCTGCTACAGGCACCTTCTGTCCTTGTTTTGGGTGGCAATTGGATTGATGTTTTATCACCCCCCCCCCCCTTAGTTTAAATACATCCTAGCAAAACCTCTGAACTGCTCACTGAGAACATTTGTTCTCTTTTGAGAAAGAGGCAAACCAACTTTTTTGTCCAGTTTATTTACATTCCAAACAGAGCTACCATGAGAAATAAAGCCAAATCCTTGCTCCCGACACCATTCACCAAGCCACAAATTAAAGTCCCTAATACGCATTCGCATGTCGTTCTGAGTGTTATGCACAGGCAGAACTTCAGAGAATGACAGTGTGGAAGCAACCTGCCGTATATCATTGGCAAAAACACAAAAAACTTCCTTTACCTCTGAAACCTCATTGCAAGCCAAGTCATTTGTCCCTAGATGGACAAGTACATCCAATTCCCCTTCCTGCTTTGCTCACTTAACAATATTACAAATATGTGTCCTGTCTCTGTGAGCAGTAGCCCTGGGAAGACATCTCACAAGACCACTATTGTCCAGCTCCACATCTCTTACGATAGAATCCCCCAACAACAACTGCTTTCTATAGTCTCCAAGCCTATCTCCATACCACCACTACACTCAGTGCCTGAGCCGGTCTCCATATCACCACTACACTCAGTGCCTGAGCCGGTCTCCATACCACCACTACACTCAGTGCCTAAGCCGGTCTCCATACCACCACTACACTCTGAAAGTGTTGAAAATGAATTATGTAGAGCAACAGACTGTCCATCTGCCATTCCTAGTATGTCTCAACAGGTAACTTTCAAGGTCTGCTTGCAGTACAGGACTGGGAATGTTAAACCTGCTTGCAGTGTCTGTTTGAGAGACAGTTCTTGATGATGACGCGAAATGTCACGGTAAACAACATTTGAAAAGTCGACCTTAACTGCAAATATGTTACCAAACAAAATAAAAAATAAAACACAAATCGCTTTAAATCTTGTTTGGCAGTTTAGCAACGCTTGTGTCTTTTTTCACTAAAAGTGAATTGCGATGAATCGAAATTCAAATGGCAAAAAAACTGTCTAAAATAACTCCATTCATGGCTCCACTATTATAGACTAGATTTCAATTCATGCACTGTTTATGGAATGAACCCTACAAATCTAGGTCAAGCTACGGACTCCCAGATGTTAACGAACTACAACTCTCATGGCTCTTTGGCTGCCTATTTCATTCAGAGAATTCTGGGAGTTGTAGGCCAGGAACATGGAGGAGGCAGAATTTGAGATCCCTGTTGTAGCGTTTTGATAGCACAGATAGCAGCTAAAGAATGACAAATCCCATTATGCTGTGCCATTCTCTACGGATGAGTAGTCTACGAAAACTGGAGTGCTTCCCCCATTGCGTTTTAGTGTATCTGTGACCAACACTGTGCGGGTAGAATCTAAACACACGTTTGCATTTTGAAGACCGCGCCATTCACTTGATCATTTCATGTAGATGCCAAAGAAGGGAGAATTTGGAATAGAAAAAAAACAGTGGTAATATTTTCAGCAATTTCTTTATCTCTCTTCTTCTAAGTAAGAAAGCTTATTAACACGCTTTGAACTTAAAATCACATTTACAATAATGTGCCATCAACAGTTTTATAAGCTAATTAGAAAAAAAAGATTAATTAATGACTAGCCTGCTAATAAAATAGCAATCATGAAGAAAGGAACCAAGGGTGCTAAGCTTCAACTACCACCAATTAAGAGCTAATTACAAACAAATTATATATGTGTTTTGCTGTGGGCTTTAATTTACTAAAATGGTTTTAATTAAAAGAGAAAACATGCTGATTAATTTGACTGCAGAAAAAAAATCATCTGCAGCATAAACCAAGCATTGTCTTTCTTTAATTAGACTTGCGAGAGCCAAGACTTTTCATGGATTTCTGTCTTTTAGAAGCGAACGCGAAGTATCGCTAGTGAATGATGTCAAAGACGCAATCCCCTCTATATATTGTTTTCTCATCGTTATTTACTGCAAGACAAACAGGGTGCCGGCTTATGTCAGAGATCCCTCTTTAAATTACAAAAACACCGACATGTATTCTTCCCGATAATGACAACTCCTCAACCCTTTCACCTCCAATGTAATCTGTAATTTACATAGACACTTGTATAGTACAAAAAAACAATAATCATTTATAAAAAGTTACAGTAATATCTAGATTGAGAGCACATGCCAAGTCATCATATAAAGAATAAAATGCTTGCTAAGCTTTTGGGAGATACTGAACCAGTTACACAATATTTGCAAGCTAAGAATTTGTAAAAGTAATTGATCTGTTGTGTAGAACCCCAGATGTCTCCAATCAGATAGATTAAAATTTCCCAGTAAATTATATCGTTTAATCTGTCTCTCTAAAGAATATTAAGTGCCCTTCAGTGCTCTCCTTGTCTGCGGTGACTGCTATTACTGTTGTGAAACAGGAACAAATGCTAAAGAAATTTAATAAGCTAAATTACATAGTATCACTTACCTGTCCTGTGGGAGCTAACATTAACCCCTTCCATTCTGAGTCACAGCAGGCTCTACCTAAGGCTTACAGGGTTATTTACTAAGGTGCCAACTGTCAGGAATTCAGATTTTAGTGCAAAATATTAAAACTGGAAAAATTCCCCATTCCAAATGAAGTCATCACTATTGCTATTTTGACCTATTACATGAAATCCACTTTAAATTTCAACAAATTGACACTTTAGTGATTGTAAGGAATAAATGCAATTGGCAAAATGTGGGCACAAATTATCCAACTCAATGTCTAGGGTCATTTAGTAAGGGACTAAAAGTAACTTAGCAGCACTAGAGGCTGGCTGATTGACAGCCACTAGAGGCAGTCTTAGTCCTGCAATGTAATTATTGCATTATCTCGAAAACTGCTTTACATTGCAGGACTAAGTGAGAAAGGGACACTGCACCCAGAGCACTTCAACGAGGTGAAGGGGTCTGGGTGATTATAGTGCCCCTTTAAGTGAAATTATGAATTTATACTTAAAGGACCACTCTAGGCACCCAGACCACTTCAGCTTAATGAAGTGGTCTGGGTGCCAGGTCCCTCTAGGATTAACACTTTTTTTTATAAACATAGCAGTTTCAGAGAATCTCACTGACAGCCGCTAGAGGCGTTTGCGTGCTTCTCACTGTGAAAATCACAGTGAGAAGATGCCAGCGTCCATAGGAAAGCATTATGAATGCTTTCCTATGAGACTGGCTGAAAGCGCGCGCAGCTCCTGCCGCGCATGCGCATTCAGCCAAAGAGGAGGATCGGAGGCGGAGAGGAGGAGGAGTGCTCCCCGCCTGGCGCTGGAAAAAAGGTAAGTTTAACCCCTTCCTCTCCATTCAGCCCGGCGGAAGGGCGACCCTGAGGTGGGGGCACCCTCAGGGCACTATAGTGCCAGGAAAACGAGTATGTTTTCCTGGCACTGTAGTGGTCCTTTAACAACAATGTGTGAGCTGCATGTGCCCTACGACCGAAAACTTACTTAGTCACACCTTGTTTGTACCTACAGCAGGGGAACTCTTTGGGCAAGTTAGAAAAGGCAACAGCAAAAGAAGCAGGAATATCCTATCCAAACAATCATTAGTCTATTCTAAAGAAACAAAAATAGAATATAAAATACTAAAGGACTGGATCTTAGCCCAGATTATTATTATTTTATTTTTTATATCATATCATTCTCTGTTTTTTAAGAATTCTAAATGCAGTAAACACATTCATCAATAACAATGTTTTGCATTGTGATATGTTTGAATATATATCCTCTGTATAAAGAATCAGACTAATTCCAGTGACATGGGCTAGGTTCACTGCTCACTACGTTTTCAATAGTGACCTTAAGACGATGAATGGGCAGAAAATTATATAAAATAGAAAGAACTTGGCAAATCAGTGACTTTCTCAGACTTTAGCCAATCAAGAGGGTTTCCAAGTCTTGTGTTTTCATAATGGTGAAGGTCAATGTGTATTAGGATAAAATGACCTTGGCTCTGGAAATGCACTAAATAATCAGCCAAAGGGATATAGCTTTAGCTATAAATGTGTAAACTGTTAATTTTGCATTGTAAAATGAGATTCTGACATTTGTCATTACAGAGCCCCATTAACTCTTGCAAAAGGAACACAAACATGTATTTCTGACCGTATCGTGTTAAAACAACCATCTAAACAGGCTCAGGCACTGAGGGTAGTGGTGTTGTGGCGACAGGCACAGAGGGTAGTGGTGTTGTGGAGACAGGCTCAGGCACAGAGGGTAGTGGTGTTGTGGAGACAGGCTCAGGCACTGAGTGTTGTGGTGACAGGCTCAGGCACTGAGGGTAGTGGTGACAGGCTTTGGGTGTAAGTGTGATTTATAGACCCCCTGGACAAATAGAAGAGTTAAATAATCTACTAGTTGAGGAAATAGCTAAAACAACAATAAAGGGGGAAGTTATCATAATGGGTGACTTTAATCTTCCTGATGTGAATTGGAAACCCAAAATAGCTGCTTGTGCCAGGAGCACACATATTCTAAACTCCCTACTGGGATTGTCTCTAAAACAAGTCGAAGAGCCAACTCGTAAGGAGGCCATACTAGATTTAGTGTTAACAAATGGAGATTTGGTATCGGATATTACTGTAGGTGAAGGTTTAGGATCCAGTGATCATCAGTCAGTGTGGTTTAATATAAGAACAGTGACTGAGTCACACCACACAAAAACAAAAGTTTTAGACAGACTTTTCTAAAATTAGAATATGTGTAAAGGAGTCATTATCAGACTGAAGCAATTTAAATGGAGTCCAAGAGTAATGGGATTATTTAAAAGTTGGACTGCTGAAGGCAAAAAGAAAATTGCATTAGGCTTGTCAGTAAAAGCAAAAAATTCAAGAAACAACTGTGGTACTTCGCAGATGTGGCCAAAATAGTAAAAATCAAAACGTAAGCATTTAGTAATTATAAAAAAAAGCCAGAGTGAGGAAGACAGACAGATCTATAAGATTTGGCAGAAAGAGTCTAAGCAAGTCATAAGTGCTTCCAAATCACACACAGAAGATAAAATAGCACAGTCAGTAAAAAAAGGGGACAAAACATTTTTTAGATAAATAAATGAGAAAAGGAAAGTAAAACAAGGATTAGTTACATTAAAAACAAAAGAAGGAAGGTTTGTAGAAGAGGATAAAGGTCTAGCTGACTGCCTCAATTAATATTTTTGTTCGGTATTTACAGATGAAAATAAAGGAAAGGGGCCTCAGTTAGGAAAAAAGACAAATGTGTTATTTGTTACATGTGAGTTTACAGAGGAAGAGGTTCTATTTCAACTGTCAAAAGTAAAGACAAATAAGTCAATGGGACCTGATGGAATACACCCAAAGTTATTAAAAGAGCTTATTGGTGTACTAGCAAAACCATTAACAGATTTATTTAACCAATCATTGTTAACAGGAGTAGTCCCAGAAGATTGAAAGTTAGCGAATGTTGTGCCTATTCACAAGAAAGGTAGTAGGGAGGAGTAGGGCAATTATAGGCCAGTAAGCCTTACTTCAGTAGTGGGGAAAGTGATGGAAACCATGTTAGGGGATAGGCTTGTTGAACATCTAAAAACACATGGATTTCAAGATCAGAGACAACATGGGTTTAGTTCAGGGAGATCAAGCCAAACTAATCTTATTGATTTTTTTGATTGGGTAACTAAAAATAATAGATCAGGGTGGTGCAGTAGACATTGCTTACCTAGATTTCAGTAAGGCTTTTGACACTGTTGCACATAGAAGGCTTATCAATAAACTGCAATCTTTAAGTTTGGATTCCAATATTGTTGAATGGGTAAGGCAGTGGCTGAGTGACAGGCAACAGAGGGTTGTAGTCAATGGAATATATTCGAAGCTTGGACTTGTCACCAGTGGGGTACCTCAGGGATCTGTACTTGGACCCATTCTCTTTAATATTTTTATTAGTGATATTGCAGAAGGTCTTGATAGTAAGGTATGTCTTATTGCTGATGATACAAAGATATGTAACAAGGTTGATGTTCCAGGAGGGATAAGCCAAATGGCAAATGATTTAGGTAAACTAGAAAAATGGTCAGAATTGTGGCAACTGACATTTAATGTGGATAAGTGCAAGATAATGCATCTTGGACGTAAAAACCCAAGGGCAGAGTACAGAATATTTGATCAACACCTGAGGAAAAGGATTTAGAGGTGATTATTTCTGATGACGTAAAGGTAGGCAGACAATGTAATAGAGCAGCAGGAAATGCTAGCAGAATGCTTGGTTGTATAGGGAGAGGTATTAGCAGTAGAAAGAGGGAAGTGCTCATACCATTGTACAGAACACTGGTGAGACCTCACTTGGAGTATTGTACACAGTACTGGAGACCGTATCTTCCGAAGGATATTGATACTTTAGAGAGAGTTCAGAGAAGGGCTACTAAACTGGTTCATGGATTGTGTGGCGAAACCAGCCTCGCCACTGTCCACTGGAGGAGCCTGGTTGCTCGCCTGCTCCCTTTAGACTATGGCCCGGCAGTTAAACCTTTTATTTTCCCTGCAAAGCGTATTCATGCCTTTCTGTAGACTGTTAAAGCCATGCTACCCCAGATAGCTATGCCATGGAGCCCAGCCGTATACTGAAAGACTGTATGAAAGACTTTGGCTCCCTGGCGATTGAACTGTATTTATGTGATCTGAGCGCCATTCGGTAGTAATGTGCACTCAGATCTAAGCTATCTGGGGATATGTAGAATGTCTATGTTTTATGGAATAAATGTAACTGTATGTAATTTCATGTCTTTTATTGTATTGTTAGTGCCATGTGGTTAATGGAGTCTTGCCTCTGTCCTGGGAGATAATTGGATTACTTCACACTTATCTCCTGGACAGAGAGGAGGGATTGTGATGTAAATGTGGGTGTGTTTTATGGTTCCCCTGTAATGATTGGTTGTACTGTGTCCCACCCTGTGGGATGTCCCCTTGCATGGGGACTTGCATAAAAGCCAGTGTGTGGCCATTACAGAGAGTTCCTGCTTAACCCTCAAAGTGAAGTGTCGTCTCATTATTGGGGGAGGATTTATTGTATGCTGTTCCAGTTTGACTGCTAGGAGAGTAAACCTATTCGTATGGTTCCTATTCAACTGTCTACAGCATTCATATGCTTGGGAGAATTTATTTGTTTCTCCGGTTCGGTGATTGTGGTGTTTGCCAGAGTGCTTGGAGTCCTCAGGAAGCGCTAGGAGCATCCTTCAACGGAGGTACCCAGTCGGAGTGCCAGGCGATCCGTTACAGATTGCATGATAAAACTTACAAGGAAAGGTTAAAGGAACTTAACATGTATAGCTTGGAGGAAAGACAAGATGGGGGGGGGGGATATGATTTAAACACAGTAAAGGAGGAGACTATATTTAAAAGAAGAAAAACTACCACAACAAGAGGACAGTCTTAAATTAGAGGGGCAAAGGTTTAAAAATAATAACGGGAAGTATTACTTTACTGAGAGGGTAGTGGATGCATGGAATAGCCTTCCAGCTGAAGTGGTAGAGGTTAACACAGTAAAGGAGTTTAAGCATGCGTGGGATAGGCATCAGGCTATCCCAACTATAAGATAAGGCCAGGGACTAATGAAAGAATTTAGAAAATTGGGCAGACTAGATGGGTCAAGGGGTTCTTATCTGTCATCACATTATACGTTTCTATGTTTAACCCCCACCCCCACTAAATATAAAAATCCCCCCAAAAAAGCCAACATGTATTCAAGTGTGCAGCTGGTGCCCTGATCTGCCTTCTGACATCAGAAGTTATTATGAGAGTCAATCACGATGCTTTTGCATAGGATTGGCTGAGACGGTCAAGGAGGCAGATCAGGGGCAGAGCCAAACACAGCCCAGCCATTGACTCAATGTATCTCTATGAGAAACATTATGTGTCTCCATGCAGAGGGTGGAGACACTGAATGTCAGTCATACTATGCAGCACTGCCACAGGAAGCACCTCTAGCAGCCATCTTAGGAATGGCCAGTGGAGGTGTCCTTAGTGGGCAATGTAAACACTGCCTTTTTTCTAAAAAAAACAGTGTTTATTGCAAAAAGCCTGCGGGGACGGATTACACTCAGAAAAATAAATACAATATGATGTATACCGTACATTAACCTGTATACCATGCATTAAGCTGTATACTATAAATTAAGCTGAATTTGATACATTAAGTTGTATACTATAAACTGCGAAATATACTATAAACTGACTAGAAATTTCGCCTTGGCACCTGTGATTTGCCAGCTCTGCAGGGAATATTGGAGCCATGAGCAGCATGGAGGCGGCCAGCCGGCCAACGTGAGCAGCACTGAGGCGGCCACCTGCGGGAGCATTGTAGGCAACACGCGAGGGAGCATTAATCTTACTGCAGCTGCTCTCTTCTCCCTCTATTAATATATTCTTGAATATTAGTAAGGTGCCTTTTTTTACTTTTTGTAGACCTACATGCCAAGCAGGTGCCACAACCATAGTACCCGCTTTTCTGATTTAAAAAATGTTTAATAGTTGCTGGGCCTTCACTACTCTGAACGAAAATTTCTTAAGGTTCGCTGCACCGCTATATATAATTTGTGGTTGTGCTGGTAAAATCTCTTTTAAAACCAGGTCATCTCTTAGGACATGCCAGTACTTTTTTATGACTTTATTAATTTTTTTATTATTACCATTAAAATTACATACAAAAGGAATTTTCTGAGTATGTGTTTGTTGTATATTTTTAGATTTATAAGTTAGTAATTCTTGTCTTGATGTATTCTTAACTTCTTCCATTGCTATGGTCAATCTGTCCTCTTCGTACCCCTTTTCTCGGAACTGTTCTTTTATTCTCGTTGCTTGTTGTATGTAATCATCATTAGTACAATTGCGTCTGATCCGCAGAAATTTTCCTTTGGGTGCATTGTTCAACCATGGTTTATGGTGGCAGATGTTCCTCTCAATGTACCCATTTGCATCTACCGCTTTAAAAAAGTTTTTAGTTCTAATCGGGTTATTTTGTATAAAAACGTGAAAGTCTAAAAAATTAATGTCTGTCTGACTATGAGTGGTAGTAAGTATGATGCCCCACTCATTGTCATTTAAAAAGGATTCGAACATCTCTAAAAGTTTAACAGAATCGTTCCAAATTAAAAATATATCATCAATATAACGGCGCTAGCACACCAAACTCGACACCCAGGGGTGTTCAGAGAATATAAAATGCTCCTCCCAATACGCCATAAACAAGTTGGCGTAACTGGGTGCGAATTTGGTGCCCATTGCCGTTCCCCTGATCTGGAGATAAAAAAAAATGTTGTTAAACCAAAAAAAGTTGTTGGTTAAAATAAGATAAATACCTTCTAAAATAAACTCTATTTGCTCTTCTTTAAAATCTGCTTTAATGAAAAAAATATTTGACAGCTCTAATTCCAATATCGTGGGGGATGAAGCTGTACAAGGACGTGACATCACTAGTAACTAAAGGATAGTTGATGTCCCATTGAGTAGTGTCCAAAACTTGTAATATATGAATCGTATCTTTAAGATGTGATGGATTTTTCACCACTAAGGGCTGTAATAAGGTGTCGATATATTCAGAGACTCCAGAAGTTATAGAGTCAATCCCTGATATGATGGGGCGCCATGGTGGATTGACTGTACTTTTATGTACTTTAGGCAATCTTTTGGATGTGCTGTCAATATTTACCTTCTTTTTCTGTTAATATTTCTTTCTCTAATCCCTTTTGAATAAATTTATCGAATAAATCTTTTACTTTCTCCGTGGGATTGGAATTGAGTTTCTGATAGGTCGTATTATCCGAAAGGATTCGTTCGGATTCCTCCATGTACTTAGTTTTGGACAAGACTACGACCCCACCTCCTTTGTCTGCCGGTTTAATGACTAGATTTTCGTACTTTTGTAAAAAAAATGTAAGTTTTTTTTTCCCGTATTGACATATTCTGTTGAAACTTATTACGTTTTTTTGCTTTCTTTATTTCTTCCATAACCATGGTCTCAAAAGTGTTCATCTTGTCAGAGACCATGTGTCTGAGGGAAAAAAAAAAAAGAGATTTTTCTTTTAATTGTGTCTGTTTATATTGTGAGTTCTGTTCCCTATTTAATGGTTCTTTCTGGTCATGAAATAATTTTTTCAGACACAAATTCCTCATAAATGTATTCATGTCAATAAAAAATTCAAATTTATCCAGTTCCGCTGTAGGCACAAATTTAAGGACTTTTATCTCCTCCTTACTTAATGGATAGTCCGTAAGATTAAAAATTCCTTGTGCATCTATCTCTTTCCCTTCTTCTCTCTGTTCCCTTTCTCTTCTTCTCCTATTTCTTGTTCCCTGGACCTTTGACGTTTGCCCGGGGATTCCCATGATTTGGGTTTCTCTTGCCATTTTAGTCCCTCTATTCTGGGTTCCTTCCGAAAAAACGACTGATGGTCATCTAAGCTCCACTTCTGGGGTTATTGACCTTCTTTCTCTGCTTCTAATGGAGATCCTGGTCTCTCTTTCCAATCTTCTTGATATTCTTATAGGGCTTCTTTCTATGATTGAGTCTACATTAGTCCTTCTCACAGTCTTTGTTGGACTTCTCCTAGTAGTGGTTATGGGATCTTTTCTTAATGTTGGTTCTAGCGGAGAGTATGTCTTACTTGTGGAATTCCTATTTTCACTCATCTTATTTGGAGGTTGTTGTTTTACCACTTCGCTGTATTTTCTACTTTGATAGTGGTATGTAGAAGTTGATGCTCTCGATGATGAATCATTCTTATGGTAATCTTTAATGGAAGGTCTCCTCTGATATCTGTTTCCTCCAGGATTACGTGGTTCGTTTCGCAATACATTATTTGTTGGTGGATCTTTAAAAGGTGAAGCCCTATAATATCGAGATCTTTCAAAATCATGGGTATACTGGTGATCATTTAGATTTTTCCGTTTAGGTTCTCCTTGTGGTCTCTGCCACTCCATATCTCTATTCCGATTTTGTTTTGTTGAACTAGTATATGTCCTTTTGGGAAATCTAATGTTGCCTATTTCATAATCATGGGTGTCCCTTAAATATTTTTTCTTTTTGATTGCAATAGTTTCCTTCTCCGCTTTTTCTAATTTAATCTTAATCGCTCTTATTATTTGGTTAAATGTTTCAAGGTTAGTAGTATCACTTTGATAGAGAAGTTGCATGTTTTATGACAGGGTGGAATAAGCTCCTTGAAGGCTTCTCATTCAGTATGATAGGGTACATAGGTTCTCTTCCCTCCTGGAAACTATCTCAGTGAGATGAAGAGATAACTACATGGAGACAAAAACTTAGTGATACTAAGACACATGGTCTTTGACAAGATGAACACTTTTGAGACCATGGTTATGGGAGAAATAAAGAAAGCAAAAAAACGTAATAAGTTTCAACAGAATATGTCAATACGGGAAAAAAAAAATACTTAAAAAAAAAATTACAAAAGTACGAAAATCTAGTCATTAAACTGGCAGACAAAGGAGGTGGGGTCGTAGTCTTGCCAAAACTAAGTACATGGAGGAATCCGAACGAATCCTTTCGGATAATACGACCTATCAGAAACTCAATTCCAATCCCACAGAGAAAGTAAAAGATTTATTCGATAAATTTATTCAAAAGGGATTAGAGAAAGAAATATTAACAGAAAAAGAAAGTAAATATTGACAGATAGCACATCCAAAAGATCCCAGTCTTTTACTACTTGCCTAAAGTACATAAAAGTACAGTCAATCCACCATGGCGCCCCATCATATCAGGGATTGACTCTATAACTTCTGGAGTCTCTGAATATATCAACACCTTATTACAGCCCTTAGTGGTGAAAAATCCATCACATCTTAAAGATACGATTCATATATTACAAGTTTTGGACACTACTCAATGGGACATCAACTATCGTTTAGTTACTAGTGATGTCACGTCCTTGTACAGCATCATCCCCCACGATATTGGAATTAGAGCTGTCAAATATTTTTTAATTAAAGCAGATTTTAAAGAAGAGCAAATAGAGTTTATTTTAGAAGGTATTTATCTTATTTTAACCAACAACTTTTTGGTTTAACAACATTTTTTATCTCCAGATCAGGGGAACGGCGATGGGCACCAAATTCGCACCCGGTTATGCCAACTTGTTTATGGCGTATTGGGAGGAACATTTTATATTCTCTGAACACCCCTGGGTGTCGAGTTTGGTGTGCTATCGCCGTTACATCAATGATATATTTTTAATTTGGAACGGTTCTGTTAAACTTTTAGAGATGTTCGAATCCTTTTTAAATGACAATGAGTGGGGCATCATACTTACTACCACTCATAGCCAGACAGACAATAATTTTTTAGACTTTCATGTTTTTATACAAAATGACCAGATTAGAACGAAAAACATTTTTAAAGCGGTAGATGCAAATGGGTACATTGAGAGGAACAGCTGCCACCAAAAACCATGGTTGAACAATGCACCCAAAGGCCAATTTCTGAGGATCAGACGCAATTGTACGAATGATGAAGATTACATACAACAAGCAACGAGAATAAAAGAACAGTCCCAAGAAAAGGGATACGAAGAGGACAGATTGACCATAGCAATGGAAGAAGTTAAGAATACATCAAGACAAGAATTACTAACTTATAAATCTAAAAATATACAACAAACACATACTCAGAAAATTCCTTTTGTATGTAATTTTAATGGTAATAATAAAAAAATTAATAAAGTCATAAAAAAGTACTGGCATGTCCTAAGAGATGACCCGGTTTTAAAAGAGATTTTACCAGCACAACCACAAATTATATATAGCGGTGCAGCGAACCTTAAGAAATCTTTCATTCAGAGTAGTGAAGGCCCAGCAACTATTAAACATTTTTTAAATCAGAAAAGCGGGTACTATGGTTGTGGCACCTGCTTGGCATGTAGGTCTACAAAAAGTAAAAAAAGGCACCTTACTAATATTCAAGAATATATTAATAGAGACTTTACTATCAAAGACCAACTTATATGCTTTTCGAAATGTCATGTATGTATTAAAATGCCCTTGCAACTTGCTCTATATAGGCCGAACCATCAGATGTATCCATATCCGGATCTCAGAACATGTACATAATATTAAAAATGGATTGGAGACCCATAGTGTCTCCAATCATTTTAAGAAATATCATAATCAAAATCCAGAAAACCTGTTCTTCTGTCCCTTAAAACTTATAAAAAAAGATTTGGAGAGGGGGAAATTACATTAAAAAAATAGGAACAGAGGAAATGAAGTTCATTTATAATTTTAATACATTGATACCGCACGGCCTCAACTCGACTTTGAGGTATGCCACATTTTTAATCATTTGACAATGAGGATATGCACTCTTGCACTTTTAATCACATCTTTATGCACTTTCTTCCACTACCAACCAATTTAGGAGGTTGGGATCAAAAGGTTGTTGATACATTCATTCACCTATGAGTTTATATAAATTTATCTGTAAACTACAAATGCAGTGTGCAATAGATTATCCATCAGATTGATGTTTATATTAATAAGCTTACTTCTATTTATATAACACATATTATTGTAATTTAGATTAAGTCTTTTTCTCTCTAAAGGTTGTTTATTCCTATTAGTCCCGCTGTCCCTGCACTGAAGCCCTCCTCCCTCTTGTATATTTATTTATTTTTTTACCTATACATATGATGGGTTTTCTGTACTCATCGAATACAGTCTGTGTACACCACCCCACCATTTGTTAATGTTTACAGCACTTATCCAGACAAAATAGTTTGTTAAAATTCATAAGCTTTAAAAGAAGACATATTGTTGTTATACCAATTCATATACAAATTTTTTTTTGTGATATTGAACCTATTCTTCTAACTCGATTTATTGAAATAATCTTACAGATTTTATTAAATTGTGTATATATTTTTATATATATATATATATATATATATATATATATATATATATATATACACACACACACACATACATACATATATATACCAGATAGTATAGCAAGACCAGGATCGTAGATAACAGAGCCGGATTCTTGAATTAATTCCGAAGTGGAACGCACTGTGCGTTCCAACGTGCGACAACGAAATCCGGAAGTAGACGGAAGGAACAACTTAAAAGGACGCCAAGAAGCTTCTACATACCACTAACGACTGAGGAAGCCCCTGGCACGGGGCGAAACGCATTTCAGGCTTTTATAAACACTACCAGCCATTTGGCCACACTGGACTTTGGACCAATTTAACCCTACAGTCCATGTTTTATTATTTTTAACAATAGTACTTTTGTATTTATGTTTTTAAGTGGTATTATTGTACACCTTTGATTAATAAAGCTCTTTGTGAAGAAATCCCACTCACTCAGCCCAGCTCTATTCCTATGCTGCTTGAGAGTTACAAGAGCATCCAGAAGACGGACGGGGACATCCCATCTAAAAGTCCCATTGTGCTACTCATGGGAGTCATATGATATTATTTGGCTCCAGGCTTGTGAGTACCTGATTTCTACGTAATCCATATTAATATATTTACAGACAATATTGCACTATATGGTTTTATGTTTCTTTTTAGACGCATCAAGATGTGTGATCCACCATTACATGTATTTAATCTTTATGATCTTAGCTAAGCCAATGTTTTCCCTTAGGAAAGCATTGGGAGTTTTTTTTTTGCATGCGCAGCAAATGTACAAATCCGCATCTCCTCATAGAGATGCATTGAATTAATGAATCTCTATGAGGAACATTCAGCACCTTCATGCAGAGCTGGAAGACACTGAACAGGAATCCTGCAGACTGTGCAGCAGTGACCAAGGACTCTCTAATGGCCGTCTGAGTGACTGTCACTAGAGGTGTTAATAAGCAGCAATGTAAACACTGCCTTTCGCATGGACAGGCTTTAGACACCAGACACATCAAGCTGTATTGGTTCTGGTGACTATAGTGTCCCTTTAAGAATTGCGTTTTTCTCGTTGAAAATGACTGGCTCCTAACTTGTTTTTAGCTGGTTTCTAGATTCCAAACAAATTTGTCAAGCCCTGTATACCGTACAAAACCCCTTCAGCCACTTACCTTATTCCAGCGCTCCCTCGGCGCTGGTGACCTCTCCTCCCCGTCCGACGTCACTGGAGCCGAATGCGCATGAGCGGCAAGTGCCTTCAAAGTGTCCATAGGAAAGCATTTCTCAATGCTTTCCTATGGACGTTCTGAGTGATGGAGGCAAAATTCGCCTCCAGCATCGCAGATGCGCCTCTAGTGGCTGTGCGGAAGGCAGCCACTCGAGGCTGGATTAACCCCAAATGTAAACATAGCAGTTTCTCTGAAACCGTTATGTTTACATGTGAAGGGTTAAAACCTGAGGGACGTGGCACCCAGACCACTTCATTGAGTCTGGGGGACTATAGTATCCCTTTTTTATTCATTTTAAAATGCCTGTCTCATGCTGGTTCACAAACTGTCCACATTCTATTTGTGTTGAGAGGTATGGACTGACATGTTTACATTACACCACATATTTGTGAAAAACTTTTCTCTTCAATAAAAATCAAACATTTTAATCTAAATCTTTATATTCAAAGCTTTGCAGATTTCCATGTATTCTGAACATATTCCTTCTTTGTAGTTTTATGCTTTTATGTCTACACAGTGGCCAATTTTTCAAGCTTCTTTGTTTTTTATTTTCTTTTAATGATTTACAATCACATTTATCCCTTTTATGTCAAGAATGCAACAGATTTTCACATTATCCATAAAAAGGAGGAGCAGTTTGGCACATCTTGTGTCCAGACACCAATTTCTTCTATATAAACAGACTAAACGATGGCCGCCCAGTGCCCTGTTTAACCTGTAGGCTGCCAGGAATGACTGTCTTAAACCCTTTAACCAGTGGCTTGTAAACAGTATGTGTAATTATCCAAGCATTACTGTTAGAAATAAACAAACATTTGCTGCTGGGTGTTTTATACGGAATCAATGCCGTTGTAACACTGATCCAGGGTGTTTGGTCAGAGGGGATAAAGGCTTATTGCAAAGCTTTGCTGCTTAAACTCCTAATCAGGACCCCAGGCAAATGATGCACTGCTGTGTACATTGTGATAACATAGCAGGCCTAAAAATTGACCGATGTGTAATCTTTTAGCAAAGAGCAGTTCTGCCAAATGGGTACAGAAAAAGCTTGCAAGGTCACGCTTTGTACCAAACGGGTCAGGCTATTTAGATTTTGTCTCTTTTGGTACCTGTGTAAGTGCTGTAGTGTTCTGTACTATCTACGATCCAGGCACTTGAATATATGATGATTTTGGTTCCAAAGTAAAGATTACAAATTCCCTGAGCAGAGTTGTTGATTTTGCGCCGTTAGTCGTATTTGCGTTATTTTTTTTGGCTCTGTTCCACCCCATCAAAGCTGTTGCTTCCAAGACACTATTTAAGAGCTTAAAAATGTTATACATCAGAAATTAGTTTCACCTATTAGGACAGGAACTGGATTAAAGCACTCTGGGAACTGTGCCCCACAGCTAAAGGTTTTATCAGCCAGTTCCAGTAGCTGCATCCTTGGAAGAAATTGCTCTGCTGATGTTTGAAAACCTACACACCTCATTTCTCCGGAGCACCTAATGAAACCTATTGTACGTCAGCATGAGGTCTGGCTACGGCAGAATGATGGAGAGCATCTTTCTTTAGATTATGAGAGATCTAGAGTTTGTTCCAACTGTACACTGTGATTTCAAGTATTATCCAAGGATAAGAATCTTAATGCTTAATCAACGCGACAGGAGCAGGAGATGAACTTTCACTAAGGAAACAAAATCTCTGATACCACCACAGGAATAGAGACATTAAATGGACAGAAAACTGGAACACCGAGCTCCACAGATTCACAGCTTCCAACTTGAGAAGAAAAAGAAGGCAAGAGAAATGCCGTAAACCAATAGTTTGTTTCCCAATACACCTTTCACTTGCCAGAAAATGCACACTGCTTTAATACTCCATCACACAGAAATCGGAGTGCAAATCTGTCATATGCATTCTGCATTCAAGAAAGCATGAAAAAAAACCACACACACTGCTTTTTGACTGCATTAATATAATTTACACTTCTAACCAAACCGTTATCACCAAGTAACCTCTCCCCGGCGCTGTCCTGATCTAAGCATCTCTACTGAGCAAATCCCCAGCCTGCCGTTTACAAGACTTCTCCCCAGCTGCCCCGCTTCTCTGGAAACCTTTGCTTCCTCACCCTTTACAAACACTATTCTAACACTGCACAGTGTGCAGGCCAGGCGTGCAAATCCTACTAGGTCTGTCAAACTACTGAATTACCGTATATTCTAGCCCTTGCTCAACGTCCAGAACGATGCAGAATATGTAGCAACTCAATTACTAAATATATAATAATAAAAGGACAATCCTAGCATGCCAACTGACTGCCCAAAACACACAATGAATGTGGCCCATGTTACAGCAATAGGTGTGCTCATTTACAGTGAAAATAAGGTTTATTTTACAAAGATGTCAATGTGGACAGAGTTGTAGAGCGTATGTGACTTTAATAAGACATTTATTTATGAAGTGCCCGTCCTGACCCTTAAATAATTTCTCTATTTTATATACAAGCTTTCAAACAGCAACAATATAAAAAATATTGTCAACCTTAATGTTGTAATATGTTCTAAAGAGAGCACAAAATGCCGAAGAACATCAGGATCACGACCTCTGGTTTTATATTGTTTGCTGCAAATCTGCAGCTTCAACAATCCTAGTCCAACCGTCCATATTTCATTAACCCACCAATCAGTGCTTTATCTTGGCAGGATCCCCAATAGCCACACATTGGCATGTTCTAGCAAAATATGCCAATTATTTTTAGTTAACCCCTTAAATGTAAAAAATACATTACCCAGAATATAAAACAGATAATTTATTAAAATGCATGTCAAAGTTCAGTGTAATAGTGTACTTCTTCTAAACCCTACAAACAAAGCAGCATTGTGTTATTTCTATAGCGGTTATTTATAGGATTTCATCATTTTATTAATTACATATAAATATTTGACAACAAAACATCTTTTCATTTACAAACAAAATGGAACAAAGTAACGAATTCCTTATTACTGTTTTTAAAATGTACACCGTTTGTTTTATTTTATCATTAACACATCCGGCTGCACATGATCACTATGACAAGCAAGAATGACTCATTTTAACCTGTTTTAAAAGTATTGTTTTACTTTATTTTTCAAATGGCCTGAAAAGTTCCGGTTTCCAGAATAATTAATAATGAAAATTGTACACAAAATGACAGATACAGAGAGTGGACACTGTAGCGGAGCTGCAATATTAAATTCCACGATCTCCGCTGGTACAGAAGGTAATCCAAAGTAAAGTGCTGAAAAGTAAGGCAATATCCCAAATCCCCCAGTAACCGGACGAAACACAGTTCTGGGAGTCAACTGAGCTTTTATTCGCAAGTCACAGTATTTATGCAAATCCCCGTGCAAGGGGTTTCCTTACTGACATTGCAGGGGTTATACAATAGGGGACTACATGGGGGACTTAACAGTCTGGACATTTCTCCCATCAGGCACTGCTGGACGAGAGGGATACTCCCACTGGAATATACCGTTAAGTGGATTATCCCTCCGTGCAGCAGAACCGACATTTTACATTAAAATACATAACTTTGCCATCATTCACTTGATTTAAACGAATGGACGTTCGGTAGATAGCTGGGGTCTGAGCGCACATTTCGTGAGAATACCGCTCAGATCCCAGCATAAATAACCGAACGCCGTACGAAATACATTTTAACATTGTGTTCGCCTAAAAGTACCGAACGCAGATGGGGAACCAGAATAGTGAAAGAGCAGAGCTCCCGAATGGCCTGGAAGCCCAGCGGTGTCCACGCTGTCGAGTAGCCGATTTCAGCTTCACGCGCTCGACAACCAAACATCGCTGGTGAAACAAAGGATCCAAGATGGCCGACCGCCGCGTGGTCGGTAGCCGAATGACGGCCACCTAGGAAAGCCCTTAACTAACGACTGCAACATTGCAACCTCTCGCTCACGGCACGGGGTGAAGTAGAGGCATTGCCTTGCTTACATTCTCAGTGAACTGTCCTCATTGGTTGAAGCTTCTCCTGTATAATCACACCCACGAGGTTCAGAATATACCAAAACAAAATATATATCACAGTCACCTAGTCATTTGGACGTAGCAGAATAAGTGCAGAGAGAAAAGCAATGAGACTAATGAGACGAGAATTACAAACTCTACAACATGCGCATTCAATTTCTAGAACAAATCAGGAAAAATATGTGATTTTTTTTATACAAACAGACATTTCCATGAAAGTGAATCTGGACTGCACTGCTTCAGTGATATTAATGTAAATGTAATGATATCAAGTTCTGTTGGCAGATTAATGGGTGCCACACGACCCTCTGTGTGTGGGCTACTGGGTGGTAGCTCATTCGTTTCACGAACAGCCGGCAAAGTCTCTGTTGGTGAAACGAAATACATGAATGCTAGAGGCTTTCGGCTGCTAGCATACGAATGCTCTAAAACATATCAGCACAGGCAGACATTACAATATAAAAATCCAGCGGTTATTACAGACAACCTTTTGCAAATATAGTTCAGTAACTACAAATACTTTTGGCAATGTTTGTTTTTTAATATAAAGAAAATATTGATAAACATAGTAGAAAACATTTAAAAAAAAAAAAAAACCTGTTTAAACCTATAAAATCATTGTATAAGACTTTTTTTTTTTTTAAACAAAAAAAGGGTTGTTTTATGTCCTCATTAATTCTGATTACTAAAATATGTGAAAAAAGTAAAATATTCCCCTCCACACACTACTTGGCAGAAGAAAACTGATAATTAGTCGACTTTAATCAAAGCTGCTATAAATTAACTAGGAAAAAAAAACAAATAGCGAGAGACACAGATCAGGAATCTCCCTTCCCTCTAACTACTGCAAACATTAGCACACAAGCCTGATCCTGACATAACCTGAATGGATCAATGACACTTGCCTCGCGAGTTGCCAGCCTGTCACTTAGTTCCTCTGCTGTTTCAATATCTCCACCCTTTACAGCTTGGTCCATAGCATCTTCCAGGCGGGACTACAGAGAAGCGGTCAGAAAAAAAAAAATATTAAACACTGGAACCTTGATTGGTAGAAACATAGAAACATAGAATGTGACGGCAGATAAGAACCATTCGGCCCATCTAGTCTGCCCAATTTTCTAAATACTTTCATTAGTCCCTAGTCTTATCTTATAGTTAAGATAGCCTTATTCCTATCCCACGCATGCTTAAACTCCTTTACTGTGTTAACCTCTACCACTTCAGCTGGAAGGCTATTCCATGCATCCACTACCCTCTCAGTAAAGCAATACTTCCTGATATTTTTAAACCTTTGTCCCTCTAATTTAAGACTATGTCCTCTTGTTGTGGTAGTATTTCTTCTTTTAAATATAGTCTCCTCCTTTACTGTGTTGATTCCCTTTATATATTTAAATGTTTCTATCATATCCCCCCTGTCTCGTCTTTCCTCCAAGCTATACATTTTAAGATCCTTTAACCTTTCCTGGTAAGTTTTATCCCGCAATCCATGAACCAGTTTAGTAGCCCTTCTCTGAACCCTCTCTAAGGTATCAATATCCTTCTGAAGATACGGTCTCAGTACTGTGTACAATACTCCAAGTGAGGTCTCACCAGTGTTCTGTACAATGGCATGAGCACTTCCCTCTTTCTACTGCTAATACCTCTCCCTATACAACCAAGCATTCTGCTAGCATTTCCTGCTGCTCTATTACATTGTCTGCCTACCTTTAAGATCTCATGGTAAGGCATTATAGGGCTGCACCATGTCTGTTAAGCAATACGCAGGTTTACATGTGCTGTCACACCTAGCCAACAGAATCTTATACTAAATACATCCCTGGGAATATCAGGGGAAGCCAACAGCCCTATACAGCATCACCTGCCACTCTACAGGTCATTGTGCTGTAAGGCAGAGGGCCCGTTACTGCAGTTCTTGGTCAAACTGTTTTCAAGTAGTGTGAGCAAATGTGGAACTTTCACAATTCTGGCAAATGGGGGTGGTAGGGGGTCTAGAGGCTGCAGGTGACCCAGGAACCCAGTGTTTTGGTCAAACTGTTTGAAAAACAGTTGTATCATGAACCAGGGGACATTGTCAGTAAACAGACTTTTATTAACCAATACTTTTAGATTTTAATTAAAGAGCATCGTGTGTGTGTGTAGCGGAGAGGTAGTATAATCCACAGTATCTCCGCTGGGTAACAGGAACAGCATAAAATAATCCAAGCAAAATAAGTACAGCATACAATAATTCCGGTAGCGTTATAAGAATCCTTCCTTCCCAAGAATTAGACGACACATAGGCTGGGAGTCAACTGAGGTTTTAATCTCAGGTCACAGTATTTATGGGATTCCCCATGGAAGGGGTTTCCCTACTGACATTACAGGGGTTGTACAGTAGGGGACTACATGGGGAACTTAACAACCTGGACATTTCTCCCATCATGCACTGCTGTATGAGAGGGATACTCCCACTAGAATATCCAGTTAAGTGGATTATACCTCCGTGCAGCAGAACCGACATTTCACATAAAAATGTATAACTTTTGCATTATTCACCTTATTTTAACGAATGAACGTTCTGGGGTCTGAGCACACATTTCGTGCAAGTACCGCTCAGATCCCAGCAAAACTAACGCCGCACGAATCACATATTATTTTACATTTGTATCCAAAGTACCGATTGTCAATAGGGGAACAAACTACTGAATGACCGGTGCTCCCGAACAGCCTGGAAGTCCAGCGGTATTCGTGCCGTCGAGTAGCCGATTTTAGTTCCAGGCGCTCGACGACCAAATACCGCTGGGCTAACAAAGAATCCAAGATGGCCGACCGCCGGCCACCATGAATCTCGATAATTACTGAATGAAACATTGTTGCAATATTTAATGGGAGCCACACAACCTCCTGTGTGTGGTCTCCCATTCAGTAGTTAATTCGTTTCACGAACAGGGTTGAAATTCACTGTTTATGAAACTACTGTATGAATGCTGGTGGCTTTCTTGCTGCCAGCATACGAATGCTCTCGTTCGTATAATATGCCTATACAGGTATTCACTTGGTTCTTACAGTCTTTAAAGGGATAGTAACACATACATAAAAATACAGTCTTAAATGGCTAGTTTTGCCACAGTGTGATAGAGTAAGCAGGGCAGAGCAGTTTATCACAGAGAGGATGTTTTACCAAGAAATACTGTCTTGATTAGCAACTCAAACGAATTTCCAGAAAAAGGGAGTACTCACCTTCTTAATGATTTTGATGCAGACTGGAGGTTCAAATCGATCACTTGCCTCAAAGTATGGCTGGAGAGTATCTAACGCAGAATTCTTTGCAGGAGCTGGGCTGAAAAGAAAAAAAAAAAAAGAGACCTTATTAATGGCATCAAACAACGGATAATCTTTAAAGCACCAATGGAGGGGATGCTATGTTCCTTATATTAAAAGATAGGAAATATAAACACCAAGCACCCAACAGCATGGAAACGCTCACAGAAGGGAGTGTGATATTATATTGATAAAATCAGTAAATACCTGTTATTCATCTCTTGATTTCCGGTTGTCTTCTCTTTATGTTTCCCTATAAAATAAATGAAAGCCTACATTAACACACTAGATTGTCAGTCCATACCAACAAGCACCCCTCCGATATGTGTAGAATCTCCACAATGCACTGCACAGGAGGCCCTTCCGATAGGTGTAGAATCTCCACAATGCACTGCATGGAGGCCCTTCCGATAGGTATAGAATCTCCACAATGCACTGCATGGAGGCCCTTCCGATAGGTGTAGAATCTCCCCAATGCACTGCATGGAGGCCCTCCCTATATGTGTAGAATCTCCCCAATGCACTGCATGGAGGCCCTTCTTATATGTGTAGCATCTCCCCAATGCATTGCATGGAGGCCCTTCCGATAGGTGTAGAATCTCCCCAATGCACTGCATGGAGGCCCTCCCTATATGTGTAGAATCTCCCCAATGCACTGCATGGAGGCCCTTCTTATATGTGTAGCATCTCCCCAAATGCACTGCATGGAGGCCCTTCCTATATGTGTAGCATCTCCCCAATGCACTGCATGGAGGCCCTTCTTATATGTGTAGCATCTCCCCAATGCACTGCATGAAAATTGCATTCTGGGCAGCATGAACGTTAAAGACCATTAGAACACCGTTCTTTGTATATAAAAATCTATTCCATCAAAAGGTTACTGAACATAACATTGAGGAGGGTAACATAGCAAACAAAAGAGAAGAACAGGCCAAGTTTTGCACCTCACTAGCCATAACTAAACCACCAACAGTCTAACTTAAAGGGGAACTTAATCTGCACCAGAAATAAATTCACCCAAAAAACAAATTGCACACATTTTTGAAATCCCTGCTATACAGCACGATAAGTCTAATGAGACCAGCAACTCTATTTGCTGTTCAAATAGCATATCACAATAAGTTAAAGCACCTATGTAGGTGGCTGTGAAATACGTGCTGAATATCTTCACTGCTTACGGATTGCAAACAGCAGGATCTGGAGGAATACTTTATTGCGCAATATACTGCTGATTTATGTGTCAAGCACTATGGCAAATAGCAGCCAGTAATAAGCTGAGAGCCTCAGCTGGCCCTCTCAACCTATTACTGGTCACCAATCCAATGTTTTCCCAATAGCAGAGCAGTCGAGGCAGAGGGATGGGCACTCAGGGACAGAATTTTGGTAAGACGGCACCTTGGGAATCATCCAAAGAGTGGCCCTTTAACAGGAGCTTAGAACTCCTAACGTAAAGACACACTGTCACTGAAAGAAGTAGGTAGAGTCACTGCCAGGGGAGGTGTGGTTTGGGTGGGTTTAACTCTTAAATGTGAAGAGATTGAGCTGTGATACTGCACTAAATACCAAAACCACTTCACTGATCATAAGTGATTAGAAGCTTATATTACCCCCTTTAAATAAAATGAGAAGCAAAAAAAAAAAAAAAAGGGGGGATAATCCCACCAGTGCTCACCCCTTCAAGAGGGAAAAGGTGATACGGCTGAATTAAAAAGTGTACTAAGTAAATCAGTTTTTATTAGGAGAAGGGGTGCACTCCAGATCAGTGTTCCAAAGTGTTTCTTTATAGACAACAAATCGATTTCATTGTGAAAACTGGCTAATGAATTATACATTTTGAAGGCCTACAACACACATTGTATTTTTCTTTTTACCTCAATCTGATTATTCCAACCCATTACATATTAAACTTTTCAAAGAAATTTTTTTATATTTTAAAGGGCGGCCATCAATTTATTGGAAATTACATCAATAAATAAAACATTTAAAATAGTTTTAACGATTATTTCCTTCTATATTTATATTACAGATTTCCACTTCAGTCCAGGCACAGCCAAAACATTGCCTCTCCACCTCAACGTAGACAGGACAGAACTTATAACAGTGAATGGCAGGGAGTCAAGATGGAGGCACTCTGTTCTATGATTGAGCCAAACACAGTGGTGCGAATTTCTACATTTAATTTGATATTTCAAACCCCACAAACACATCTGTAAAAGGCCCAGACACCACAACCACTATGGCTGTACTGTCTCCCCCCCCCCCACAATAAAAGGAATGAAACGTTATACTTGGCGACCACCTTCTCCACTCCACTAGGTGTTTCGCTATTTGGCTGAGTGCAATCAGTTGCACTGATCTATCGCTGGGCTTAGCTCAGGGCAGTTGACAGAAGTTACTGCTCTGCCGTTTTGGTAGAGCAGGTAGGCAGCGGCACACACTGGACCCCATGTAAGAAGGCAAGTTCCAGTCACCATAACCACTACAGTAAGCTGCCTGGGGTATCCCTTTAAATAAAGAAAACGAGCAAACAGAATATTACAAATCCTGGGAAGTCACATCTCACGATTGTCTGGTGGCATGGCTTCCTTAATGGGCTCTGTTTGTTGCATTATATTTGAAAAATATCCACATTCCAAAATATGCCAATTCCCATATAAATGTATTTAAAATAACGATTAACTTTTCCGTAGACTTTTTCTCTTCTCCATCCTGCTAGCTTGAGCTTTCAATTCGAGACGTTTCTTTTGAAGTTCCATAAATTTCTAATAGAAGACAAAACCCAAATGGAAGAGTTACTCACAGAGAAGAACATTTTCTGGTTACACCAGGTGTGAGAAGTCTACATTTGCCAACAAATATGTTCCTAAAATCCCAGCAAACTTATAAACAAAACAAGAAAAAAAATACCCTACAAAAGTAGTTTATTTCGTCTGCCTAATTTATTAATTTAAAATTCCTGTTCCCACTAAAATCAGAAGGAACCTAAACTCCACAAAAGGATGAGATATGAGGCAGGACGACTGGTGTCGCCAACTGCGCAGAATGCTCTCCTCACATAGTCTGCAGCTGGCCCTTTATGGGACTATTTTGATGGATTATGGATAAACTGAAATGGAACTCTACCCAGACCCTGTCTGTTACCAAAACATCACACACTCCATGAGATCCTTTACTTATGGATAACAAAAAACCTATGGTGAAAAAGAGAAATAGAGGGACAAAAAGGATCAATTTAAAAACAAATCCCACAAAATGACAGACCAGCTTTAAGGTAACACAGCGTTCAGAATGCTTTTTCTATTAAAGCTAAAAATCAGACAAAGGTAGACATTTAAGTCATCTCTAACCAACAGGAAGCTGCACGCAAGCAATACATTATTAAAAAATAATTACAAGTAAGGATTGCCAGAATTCACAATGAATGTCAAATTTACAGCCACATTGAAAACAAACGTGGCACTTTTTTTCTCATTCTGCTATTTTGGTCTAACGTTTGAATTTTTGCCAATTCTAAGTTTAGTAAATGGATCATGTTAGTGTGATCACAGCCTGGTACATGACATGTGAAGTCATAAAAGGATCATAATACAGGGTGTTTGCAGCTTAGGTCATTGACCAGGGCTAGAACTATTAAAGCATTACAATACTCCTAAACCAGAGATGGTGTACCCCAAGCACTCCCGGCCCACAATGACTACTGTTACTACCCGGCGAGCCGCGAGTATGAGACATGCTTACTAAGGCAGAGTAGGCACCTGCTCTTCCCCACATTGCAGGTGCCTACTCTGCTAAAATGTACCCGGCCGGGGAGGAGAGGTCACTGGCGGCAGCGAGGGAGCTCAGTCTTCCTGTCCTCACTGTTCCGTTGCGCGTGCCCGCTGCAGTGATGCCAGGTGCCGAAATATGTCATTACTAAACTGCGCACGTGAGGGAGCAGTGAGGAGCAGCAAGGGAGACCCCCACACCAGCTCCCAAAAGTAGGGAGCAATAGATCAAATGATGTGAGTGTGTGCAAGAATGTGTAGATGTGTGAGTGTTTGTCTGGGAGTGTGTCCGTCAGAGAATGTGTGGGTGTGTGTCTGTGTGTCTGTCAGTCAGTGAGTCAGAGAGTGGCAGAACCAGTTATCTATTTGGATTATGTACTATTAAATCAGGGACTTATGTACTGTTAAATCAGGGACTTATCAGCGGCCATCTTTAGCCGCGAACACATACAGCGGTGTTTGGTTGTCAAGTGCATTGAACTATAATCGGACACTCGACTGTGCGAACACCGCTGGAACTTCCACCTCTACATGTGCTTGGTCCCATTCACCTAAGAAGAGTGGCATTCATGGAGAACAAACTCCCGAACGAGGGACACACAATCAACTAATATACGAACAGTTACATATTGTGTTTTTTACTTCCGAAAGACTGACCGCACAGCCCGATTTCATGGAACTCTTGTGGGCAGGCGCCTCGTGTGCAGTCAGCCTAAGCTATAGCCGGCTGGCGTTTCGGCTACGTTCGTGGGATCGGTGTGCTTTCGAGATATGTTGGGTGCTCAGATCCAGGCTATCCAGGGATATAGTACCTGAGGGGGTACCGTATTATAAAAAGGGCGTTTATTACTGTACATGTCCTGGACCTATGTTGTGTACTTTGTGCCTGTCCCCTCTCAGGTCCAGTAGGAAATTACCCTTAGATGGGGACACACATAAAAGGCTGTGCGTGGTTACCATTAAACAGTTGACTCCCAGAACTGTGTATCGTCCGGTTACTGGGGGAATTGGGAATATGCGCTTTCTTTGATGTTCTACAGAGATATCGATTTTAATGTTGCAGCTCCGCTACAATGTTTGTGTGTGACTGTCAGAGAGTGAATGTGTTGGTCAGTGTTGCGATGACTGCAGCTGGAGGACCTGGTGGTGCATGCAGGTACACAACGCCACGTCACAGTCTGACGTGACATCAACCTGCTCCACCTTCACAGGGTTTCAAGGAGTAGCAGGAGGCACAGGGTGCAGACGGCGCCATTGGGCGTATATCAGAGGCTGGACTCCGGATTCGCAAACTGGCAGCGCCAACGTGAGTGGAGTCTGCTTGTTGGCGTATTTATTTATTTTTTTAAAACAAGGGCCGCGGTTTAGTGGGGGGTGTGGGGCTGGGTTTTAGTAGAGGGGGAGAATGGGTTTTAGTATAGAGGGGGGAACTGGGAATTAGTATAGAGAGGGGAACTGGGATGCTGTTTATTTATACTGTACTTTTCAAAACAAACCTACATTTCTATGAAAATGGAAGGTTTTTTTGCGGCCCACATAAGCTTAAACCTTGTTTATTTGGCCCGTGCTAGCATTTGAGTTTGACATGGATGGTGTACACATTGCAAAATACTTCCAAGGACAGATTAATAGTCTGCACTGACATTCTGTTTCTAGATGTTAATGTACTTCCAGGACTTAGGATCAGAGAGTGTCAATATATTGTAAATATTTAATTACACGAAAGGGTGGAAAGACAGCAAAGTGCACTCTTGGGACCAAAAAAATAAAAATAAATAACAATGGTAGAGATGGGTAAAGATCTGTACTTATCTTGTCTTCATAAACGGTGTTCTGTTCATGTGACTGGCTTTGCTGAATATATGATACGATGGCTGATGAAGGTATTTGATATGGGAAGAGTGTAGATGTTTCTGCATCCTTCTGATCCTAAAAGATTCTCTTTCACTGCTAATCTAATACGTTAGTCACACATCCATCGACTAGTAGTCTATGGACATCATTCCATTTATACTACACAAGTGACAAACAGGTGGCAATGAAGTATATATTAAAAATAAAAGGATTATGTGCCAGAGAATTAGCATCCAGCCTGCAGCTATTGAATACTAGATTTAGGATTAGATATTTACATTTTCAAAGTTGTAGTTAGCGGTCCTGAAACCTGAAACTAGGAGCCCACGTCAAGGGAGTTGATGAGCGATACTCAGACAGTGCTTCCATTATCTCGAACATCTGCAGAGAACTTGCCTTTAATCTCTCTAAGTCACTCCAATTTTGTCAAATTGAGTCAACCTTATCAGGATGTGACCCAGAAGAGCTCAGTTTTCATAGCTGATACAGAGATGGCTTCCAAGGAACCCCCGCGTGAAGCTTATCAAGGGATCTTCATAGTGAATTATTTTTGCCTAGCTACATATTTATTAGACTAATTACCCTACAAATGTCAACGAAATTGCAATCCCTGGGATCAAAATACATTTAATATTGGTGACAATATCCTCCACCCACCCAGGTGAACAAACTAAGATCTATGAGCAAAGGCCTTGATGCAGGTGTATCCATTGATCATATCTTAATTTTAGTAACTTTACACTTAATTACTTCTAAGTAATACAAATATTGATTGTAGCAGATGCATGTGAAGACTATTCTTCCCAAATATATAGTTAGCCATTAGCGAGTGAAAATATAGCCTTAGTGAGTAGAATTCAGTCATGGGGTGTGTGCTAAAGCTCACATAGGTCTGGATAGTAACACAGGACTTCAAGTTTTATACAAATATATACATACAGTCACGGGAAAAAGAAAGTGCACCCTCTTTGAATTCTATGCTTTTACATATCAGAACATAGTAATAATAATCATCTGTCCTTAGCAGGTCTTAGCAAGCGCTTACTCACCTCCCGGCAGCTCCTCCAGCTCCCCAGTGCAACTCTCGCGAGACCCGCGGCCGTCAGAGCGTTGCCATGGATCACCATGGCAACGCTCCGCGCGACACGCTGGCCGCGAGAGTTGCACTGGGGAGCTGCTGGGAGGTAAGTAAGCGCTTGCTGTCCGCCCCCCCCAAAGCTCAGCCAATACCACTGGACCACCAGGGACTGCTATATCCCCCCTCCCTGGCCAGGCAACAAGCAGGGACAACAAAAATAAATAATAATTAAATAAATATAAAAAAATAAATAATAATTTAATAAAAAATGCCCCCTTGCACACTCCATTATATACACATACACTACACAAACACACTGTGTATATAATGCAGTGTGTGTGTGTGTGTGTGTGGGTATACATTGCACACACTGCATTATATACACACACTATACAAACACACACACACTGCATTATATACACAG